CATCGGCACTGCTCTGTCTTCCTGACAGTCTCCTGCCCTCTTTTTCCCAAGTGAGTTTGGACTCCTTGTGAGATTGCTCCCTGGGTGTGTGGGCTATTCTTATTTTGCCATTATTATTAATAGCAATATCAACTTCTTCACAAAACCATGTCCTTTGGGGTTAGACCATTGAAATATCTCTTCTCGAATTACTGCATTGAAGGGAGTCAGCATTCTGTAGGTTTTGTTGCATACCTAAAGACTTTCCTTGAAAGAAACCAATTTACAATAATATATTTAGCAATTTTTTTAGTGTTTGTGTGTCCGTAGCCCCATCAACATGTTAATTTTTTTCTACTTTTATATAGGAGTTACATATAATAAAGTTTTAATTTTCCGATTTAAATTACCAATACTCATGAGCCTACGTGTTGTTATGCATTTTGGCTTGCTGTCTGTATTTCCTATGTATAAACTGGATTTTTCTTCTTTGACTGTTGATTGAATAGAGTCTACATACTGACTTCATATGATTATATTGTACCCTCCTAATATTGTTTCTATTGTCTTCTGTTTTGTTGAATATTTCAGCCTTATGTATTCAATGTATCCTTCTCTGAGTAGATATAAATTTTCTTTTTCCCATATCCTGGATAATTATCTTCTATTTTCTTCCAGGTTTTTTTGTTTGTTGGATTTATGTTTAATACTTTGACTTGACTGGAAATGAATCCCATACTGTTTTTAGGTTTATTAGCTAGTAGCGCTTTTCCCATTGTGTTCTTCCTGGTTGTCTTAGAGTTTTGTAATAGTTTCAATCTATTTCTGGAACCTTCATTGTATATTACATTGATTTGTTTCTTTTTATCCTATCATCATAAACTTTGGGGTCATTTTTGCTTTGGAAGATATTTTACAGTCTGATAAGATTAGCATACTACAGTTATATTTCAGGATATATGTATTTGGTAGTCTTGCATACTTAGTGGTCTGGATGAATTCTGATCTCATTTTGTCAAGTTCTGAAATATAGTCTATAGGTATTAAAAATCCATCTTAAATCCTTATATTTTCTGGGGATGTATTATCTCTATTTAGTCCTCTCAGCCTGGAATTAGCAACTTTTTTTTTCTTGGTTTCTTTATTTAATTCTATTAAGTTTTAACTGATAGATAACATTATCTTAGTTTCAGGTGCACACATAATGACTTCACATTTGTACATATTGCAAAAAGATTACCACAATGTATGGTTAGTATCTGTCACCATTCATAATTACAGAATTTTTTGTCCTGTGATGAGAATTTTCTTTGTGATGAGAACTCTCTTAGCAACTTTCAACCATAAATACACTATTATTAATGATAGTCACCAAGCTGTACATTACAGCCCCATGACATAATATATAACTGAGTTTCTGTCTTTTGACTGCCTTCACCAATCTTACCCATCTTATATCCCTGCCTCTCTGGCAACCACCAATCTGTTCTCTGTATCTGTGAGCTCAGTTTTTGGTTTTTGTTTTGTTTTGTTTTGTTTTTTTGTTTTCAGATTGCAAATATAGGTGAGGTAATATGTTTGCCTTTCTCTGTCTGATTTGTTCACTTAGCATAATGCCCTTAAGGTCCATCCATGTGGTCACAAATGGCAAGATTTTATTCTTTTGTATAGCTGAATAATATCCCATTGTGCATGTGTGTGTGTGTGGGTGGGTACCACAATTTATTTACCCATTCATCTGTCAAAGGACGTTAAGTTCTTTCCATGTCTTGGCTGTTGTAAATAATCCTGCAGTGAATATGGGCATACAGATTTATTTTCAAGTTAGTATTTTCATTTTCTTTGGATAAATACCCAGAATTTGGATTTCTTCCAATAAATATTTGGAATTGCTAGGTCATACTGTAGTTTCACTTCTTATTTCTTGAGGAACCTCCATACTGTTTTCCACAGTGGTGGCACCAATTTACATTCCCACCAATAGTGGACAAGGGTTCCCTTTCCTTCACATCCTGTACCAGCATATCTTATCTCTTGTCTCTTTGATAATAGCCAATCTAATTTCATTGAGGTTTTTATTTGAATTAGAAACTTTTTTCCTGTTGTTCATACCTTCTTTTGTTCATCCTAATAAGTATTTGTATTTTTCCTAATTAAATCTTTTAATATCCTGAGCTAAACTACTTAGCAACTTTTAAGTATTTTTGTTCCTTTGTAAATCTCCTTTCTCTTTGCTGGGGTTTCTGCTTGAACGGTTCTCATAGAGAATGCGGTGATTTTTTTTCCCCCTTATAGCCTATAGCTTTTCTAATTCCATTTATTATTGATGCTGTTTTGTTGTTGATTTCATAGGATTGTAGTCACGCTGTCACCTACTTTGGTCTCTTCCTTTCTTGTATATTATTAGTCTAATCATTTGTCCTCAGCGTTGGCTGCCAGCTTTTCCAGCCCTGTATCATGTAGGAGTTACAGTTTAAAAAAAATGGACTCTAGCACTTCACTAAAATATTGGTGCTTTGTAATTTTAAAATAACTTATTTAAAAAAACATAATCTTTATGTATACCTTCTTATAACAAATACATTTAAGGAAAAAAATAGGTCACTTTATCCTTTGAACATTTCTAAATTTCTTCTACTTCTGGAATAATCCTTGTTGTAGTCACAAGAGACGTTTTTCTCCTGAAAACATCCTTCAGTTTCTAAACAGTTTCTCATAGTGGTTCCCCACTAAGTGTGTATTGTGGTGACCCTTGGGATTTGTTATTATTCCATAATGCACCACACTGATACAAGCCCTCCCATGTGTCTGATAGGACACGTCAGAAGGGCCTTTCCCTCTCTAAGAACTGCTCTGGCAATCATAACATCATAAACTTTGGGGTCATAACGTCTGGAAATGCAAAACAGCCTTTCAGCAAAATGGCTGGTCCCAGGCCACAGTTTTCAGTCCTAATTCAGAGGGTTTTCTCTTTTTGGATCCTAGGTGTACATTTATATTTTTTCCTCAACACCATTCTTTTTAAAAACTGGAGAGAGTTGGCATTCCTGTTTGTGAGTGAAAGACACTGTCATCCCATGAATGTATTTTTCTGAGGATTTCCATATTTTTAATTTTTTTGTTTTGAAATTAATATAGATTCAAGTAATTGCAAAATAGCATAGATAGGTCCCCTGGGCCTTTTACCCAGTTGCCACCACTGGTAACATCTTAGAGAATTTCTGCTTTGCAGTTTCCAAGGATAGCTGCTCTGGCTTTGGCAGGTCTTTCTATTGTCCTCGTCGATGACTTCAGACCCGGTTGCATGTGTATGATAATTTCACCAACTAGAAGATGTGATTAAGTGATGAGATTCTTGTCTTTTCACCACTGTCTTTTTTTTTTTTTTGAGAGGGCATCTCTCATATTTATTGGTCAAATGGTTGTTAACAACAACAACATTCTGTATAGGGGACTCAACGCACAATCATTAATCAACCGCAAGCCTAATTCTCAACAGTCTCCAATCTTCTGAAGCATAACGAACAAGCTCTTACATGGTGAACAAGTTCTTACATAGTGAATAAGTTCTTACATGGTGAACAGTGCAAGGGCAATCATATCACAGAAACTTTCAGTTTTGATCACGCATCATCAACTATAAACAATCAAGTCAGGTATGATTATTTGTTTGATTTTTTTTTTTTTTTGAGAGGGCATCTCTCATATTTATTGATCAAATGGTTGTTAACAACAATAAAATTCAGTATAGGGGGGTCAACGCTCAATGTACAATCATTAATCCATCTCAAGCCTAATTCTCGTCAGTCTCCAATCTTCTGAAGCACCACTGTCTTTTTGATCTGAAAGCACTTCAACTCATCTTGGCCTTAATTTGTAAAATGAGGAAATCAGTCACATTGTGATTTTTCTGTAGCTGAAAGCACAGCCACTTGATTGATTGGAAGACATGATTGATCAGCCTCCTGCCTGAGTAGTGTGCCCTGGTTATTTTCCTCCTTACCTCATAAGGAACAAACTAAGATTCTAAAACCTGTTGTTTAAAGGCCTAGTTCCAAGATAATTAGAATAGTAAGATCGGTATAGAGTTGATTAATTTAGAGCTGGAGTTAAATTTGCATGACAGTGACATGGAAAAATACAAAGGCATATAGAGCAATTTCCTATTAGAAATTAATTGACACAGAAGTCTTAGGTACCTGCAAATTTTAAATGGCAAACAATGACTTTAGAAAATGGGTATAAAATTACTAAAACTAAGATGTTTATTATTATTAGTGGTAATTCCCATATAATTATAATGGAGAGTTATGCATGAGTCTGTTATTTGTAAGTAAAGGTCTTCACTAGAAATTGCATGTCTTTTTTATTTCTGAGGTGGAGAACACTTGTCAATTTCATCTTAAATTGTTTTAATACAGCATGGATGAATATTTGTGATGAATCTGAATGAAATAACCAGAGTTAGGTAAAGAATGTGGATCTATGCTGGATGTTTTATGGACAAACAGGGAAGATTCCTGCCTGGAATCATTATTGAAATTGCACCTAGGAAGAGCTTTTGTCTGAAGGATCATATTGTCACTCTGAGAGAACTAAGTTCTCTGGTCACCTCATCAGAATAAAATCATTGTACAGCTTAAATTCTCTGTTCCATACAGCCTCTTCAAATTTTTTTAATTTCCTTTGGTTTAATTCAAGGCTGGAATCCTTTGCCTTGCTCACATAGTTTTGTGCCTCATGGGCTTTGGAATCGCTAGCCAATCCCTGTTGAGATTAATTGTTTTATAAATGAGTAGCATAAGCAAATACTTGCCAGTTTAACAAAATTGGAATTTGAGAGTTTATTAAAGTAATACAGAAAGGGACAGTGCTCCCATTCATGATAAAATCCACCCGACTAATTCACACTTAACTGAGGTTTTTTTGTCTCCTTCCCTTGCTCTGTCTGTTCAAATTGCTGATTTTTTCACACCTGATGACCCTTCTCTCAAATTCCCATCGTTGGTATTTCTTCGAAGCTTTGTGCACCGAGGGCGCCCTGAACCTCTGGATCTTCATTTGGGCATGTTCTTGCCCACCTTACTTCACCAGGCAACCGCGGAACAGCAGGAGCGCTTCTTCATGCCCGCCTGGAACTTGGAGATCATTGGCACTTATGCCCAGACAGAGATGGGTCATGGTATGGTGCATTCAGTCTACCTTCTGGGTTGGGTGGGGCTCTGTGAGCTTAGCATGTCAGGAGAGCCCACCAGGGGTTAGCATTGGCATCTCTGCCGGCTGTGATCTGTTTAAGTCCGCTCTTTCTGCAGAGGCCAGGCTTTTCACGTATGTAAGTCTTGGCATAGACATTGCTTTGGTCAGTGGAAATTAAAGGCTGTATTAACACAGAGACATGCTGATGAATTTTTCATGGTTCTCTTTCAAAGGTCAAAATTACAAGTCAGGATTTATTTACTAAGTGGTTTTTCAAGTTCACTGTATAAATTTGTGTGATATAGAAACTATCCATCTGCTTTCCTTTATTACTGATTACCTTTACAACTTAATGATGCCTTATTTACTACTACTACTACCTTAATGAACTTGCACAAATTCCAGAAGAAATACAAATGAATAGTATGTGTGTTCTTTGACTTGCTGAAGGGAAATGGGTGGCTTACATAACCAAAATGTGCAGCATTTTATACCGTTAAGTTATTTGTACCTTGATTGAGTGAATTCAGTACATTTCTGGAGGTGGCTTGCCCAAAGTTTAGAAAAAAATAAGATAAACCATACTTTTGGGCAGTTGGTTTCAAACTCTATTGTATCTACCATCTTTTTTATTTCCATCTCCCACCTACCGCTTTTCATGAACTGGATGGGGCTGAAGGCAGTAGCTGTCCCGGGTTATCTCCTCGTCTGAATGGGTTTCCGCGTTTGCTCGTCATTTGCTCCTGGCTTCTCTTTTTCTACACAGAGATTTTAGAACTAGTCTAGAATATACTTGCCACTTGCTCCATGTTCCTGTACAATTTCATCTTCATTGAATAGCTAGTTTGGCTAAGTAATATTTTACAGGATTTTCACAAGACCCAAAGTGGAATAATACCATTTGGTTCGATTGTGCGTTTGAAAACAAATTGTCATCTGTTTTGTTTAATATGTTACCTGTTTTTCTACAAAAACTGCTTTGGTGAGATGAGTCTTAAGTGTCTGGTTCCTTGATTCCCTCTCAGGGGAAGGTTGTGGATCACACATAAAGTAGCCATTTCTGTTACTCCACTTAGATGTTTCTAAATATTTAAGAGTTTAAGTGTTTAATGATGTCTAGCATTATCAAAGCAGCTTGGTTTGCAAAAGGTTCTCAGCATTTGCTTAAGGATAGTGTTATTAGAAAGTGTATCACTTAGAATATTTTTCTGTACCTCGTTTCAGAGAATTTTGGCACATTTGCATTAGGATTTAAAACATGATTACCCTGTCCATCTCCAGTAACCATGAAACAGGGAGTTCTTCCTAGTCACAATAATGAACAGCCAAGACTAAGTTAAGGTCTGGCATTGGAAATCTGCAGGTTTAATGCAGACCTTATTGGATCTTTAGAAATCTAAAAAAGTCACTGCTCCACATCTTTTCCCCCATCATGGCTATACCTTGTTAAGCTCTTGTTTTCCATTCTGTCATTCTAAAATAAATTCTCAATTTATAAGAACTTTAGCTAGAGTCTCTTTTCTGACACATTGTCGTCTTCTTTGCAGTAATGCAAAAGTCCAGCAGGTTGAGGTGTGGTGAACACAATAGTGAGTTGAAATTGGTATGCTCACAACTTAGAGATGGGTTTAAATTTAACCCTGTTAAGTTCATACCTGTGATCTCATGAAAGTAGGATTCTAAGCTGCCTTGACATTTTATTTTGGTTGATCTAAATAAATGTTACAGGCCTACTTGTAAAAGTACATTAAATCAACTATAGAAACAGAGCATGCTTGACATTTATATTTTTAACTTAGCAGGAATTGTCTGCTTTCAGCATAGGAAATTATTTATCTTGGTTATCAACCATTTGTAGCTCATTTACAAATATTTTGTTGTTCTTAGATTTTGTTTTTCTCCAAGACTTTAGAGCTTAAAGGACTGGGCAAGAGATTTTACCCTGTACCTATTTTTTCCCAAAGTCTTTGTGAAGTGAATGTAATTTATTTCCTTAGGAACTCACCTTCGAGGCTTGGAAACCACAGCCACTTATGACCCTGAAACTCAGGAGTTCGTTCTCAACAGTCCTACTGTGACCTCCATCAAGTGGTGGCCCGGTGGACGTAAGTGGATTTTTATCATTCACTGGAGGTTTTGAAGATTATTATAAGATTGTGTTTAGAATGAGAACTAATATGACAATATCATTTTGAAATACAGAAAAACCTCCTTAAATTATTCTAAGCTATTTCACAGTCTCTTATGGTGCATATTATGGATATTTATACATTTTACAAATCACAGAACAAACAGCTCTCTTCCTCTGCTTTTCTTAGTTTTTCATCTAAACATCGCCACATGTTAGCATAGTTTCCATAGTCATCATTTAAAGTAACTTGGTATCACCTGGTTAGTCATTTCCATATTGCCAAGCATTTGAGTTCTCAGATTTTATTATAAATAGCTCTGACATTAAGCATTTAATAATGTCTTCCATTCCAAGTTGTTGTCTTTGGATGTGCATTTCAGATGGCATTAGTGGTTGGAGGATTTTGTTTTTTCACATTATATATTTCAGTGTGTGACATTACATTTTTTTTTTTTTTTTGGTATCATTAATCTACAGTTACATGAGGAACATTATGTTTACTAGGCTTCCCCCTTCACCAGACATTACATTTTGACAAGAAAAAAACTGGCATGCAAAAAAGATGAATTTTATTTCTGGATATACTAACCAAAAATCTCTTTGGAACAGCTGCATCATATAGAACTTTCCAGCATGACAAGAATATTCTCTATCTTTGCTATTAATTTTAGTAGCCACTAGCCACACCTAATTACTGAATCCTTGAAATGTAGGTAACTGTATCTTACATTTAATTTAATTTAATTTAAATGTAAACAACCACATGTAATTACTGGCTGCTGTTATGGAAAGCTCTGCCTTAAAGGAGAAAAGCAAAGTAATTTAATATTCCTGTGGTTATCCTGAAATTTTCTTTATATAAATGAAATAAATATAAAAGAAAAAAGTTTTTTAAAATGAAGGGGTGCTATTAAATCAGCATACTCAAATTTACACAATGTTATATGTTAATTATATCTCAGTAAAAAATTTTTGAGCTTTTTTATGTATTTAAAAAATTAAATGAAGGATTGCTTTGCCAAAATTTGATGAATTTTATTAGGTATCAGCTTAAGTGGATTTCTTTCTGACACCTGCAGGTTGTACTGCCATATTAGATACTCTGGGCATGCTCTATTGATAAAGAGTCTATAGAGTATTTAACATGTGTTTTTTCCCCTCATGTTTCTATCCTTTGAAAATGTAAGAATGTTTGCTTACTTATCCCTCTGGTTCTCTTTGATGTTTCAGTTGGAAAGACTTCCAATCATGCGATAGTCCTTGCCCAGCTCATCACGAAGGGGAAATGCTACGGATTACATGCCTTTATTGTGCCTATTCGTGAAATTGGGACCCATAAGCCTTTGCCAGGTTAGAATTATTCATCTGATGTTGAGGTGAAAAATTAAACTGATTGCTTTGTTCTGCAGGAAGTATAGCACACAACTAGAGAAGCTGGGAAAAGCCAGGAGTTGCAGAGCATAAACTTCATGCGACTTTCCTTTCATCTGTGGTAGGTATCACTGTTGGAGACATCGGCCCCAAATTTGGCTATGATGAGATGGATAATGGCTACCTGAAGATGGACAATTACCGTATTCCCAGAGAAAACATGCTGATGAAGCATGCCCAGGTACATTTAGACAGAAAATAGGAGAAGTATCAAGCACGGGGGTTCCAGTGACTATTGATGACCATGGGATGAGAAGGGCTTGCTCTTTCACAAGGCAGTAACATTTTCTTACTTTTGACGCTTCTTTCACGGCAGTGTACTCAAAGGCAGGGAGGCAGGTATGAAGAGTATATTCTGGTTTACTAAACCAGTGGGTCTCAAACTTTAGCGGGTGGCAGAGCAGGGACTGAGATTTTGTATTTCAATCAAGTGATGCCAATGCTGCTGTTCCGGGGACCACACTTTGAGAATCACTGGCCTAATCTGCCACTTGGGTTTAACAGAAAGAAGCATCAGTCCCCTGTTCCTTTTCCAGGTGAAGCCGGATGGCACATACGTGAAACCCCTGAGTAACAAGCTGACCTATGGGACCATGGTGTTTGTCAGGTCCTTCCTTGTGGGTGAAGCCGCTCGCTCTCTGTCGAAGGCGTGCACCATTGCCATCCGGTACAGCGCCGTGAGGCACCAGTCTGAGATCAAGCCAGGGTAAGGGTGGCGACTGAGATGGGCTCAGTACTGAAGACCTGGCTTTGACCCCAGTCAACCATCAAAGTCCCCGTGTGGTAGAGGGAAGATGCACTGGCGGTGCAGAATGAGCTACGATGGCAGTGTGCTGGGCTTGCTACTCAGAACCTAGACTCCTTTTCTTAGGTGGAAAGTGAAAAAAAACACCTTGTTATTTTTAACTTTCTAAGATAAACAATAATATTACTTGAACCTGTAAATGAAATGTTCAGAACACTGAAGGCAATATGAAAAGTCTAACTGCCACTAACAACTACAGAGTAGGTGGGATGAAAGTGACAGTAAACTTGATTTCCTGTTGTGTTCATGGCCATAGTTTATTCCTACTGCTGTCTTTCACTAGGGCATGACTTCTTGGTAACCATTTTACTCTTCAAGAAGGAATAAAGAAATTGGTAAGAATAGACCTTCTTAGACTTCAAATATTTAACTCTGTGCTTTGGGTCTTCTCCGGAATCGTGGTCAAAATACAGTTCATTCAGCTCCTGTGCCTGCCTTCTGTGAACTTTGATTGCTATGAGTTAAGAGCTTCCTTAGTTATACTGTAAAGACTAAGAAAGAGAAGAACCTCACAGCTGGAAAATTCTGCCTACCTAAGGCAGCTGAACAGGTGGTTGAGAGCATGGTCTTCTGTAGCCACAGCCTAGACTTACATCAAGGGTCTTCCACTTAGTAGCTGTGTGACCTTGGGCAGGTTCTTAACCTCTCATATTCCCCTCTGTGAAAAGGGGATAATAATAGCTACGTCAAAGGGTCTTTATGAGGACTAAATAAATTAATATGTCAAAGTGTTTAGACTGGAACCTAGCAGCACATACTCTGTAACTCGACTTTTTTTTTCCCTATGTACTTCAGTGAACCAGAACCACAGATTTTGGATTTTCAAACCCAGCAGTATAAACTCTTCCCACTCTTGGCCACTGCCTATGCCTTCCAGTTTGTAGGTGCGTACATGAAGGAGACCTACCATCGGATTAATGAAGACATTGGCCAAGGAGACCTGAGTGAACTGCCAGAGGTATGTGCTCAGTCCCATTCTCTTGTGGGCATTTTGTTTGCTTGTTGGGTGATGTCCAGAGAAACTAGACATTGGAATTTCTTGGGGAAAAAAATCCGTATGTTCTCAAAAGATAAAAGAATTTTTTTTTTTGGATTAAAAGTGAATCAGATAGGAAGGCGTAGGCTCTGTTTTTAAGTTTCAGAAGTACTATATCCTGTTGGTCATATTTTAATCAAAATTAGTGGTGACTTTTTGCCAAGTAGAACACTTCAGAAATGGGTGTGGGAATATTATTAATTCAGTGGGATGACCCTGCTTCTTCAGATCACGTGCATGGCCCGTGATGTTGAAAGTGCTTCACACTGTTAGATGAGGATAAGCGTTTTGCATTGGCATCCAGACTTTCAGCACCACAGATAGTCTGATGGCCTGTGCTTTCGCCCTTCATTCAGCTCCATGCCCTCACTGCTGGGCTGAAGGCTTTCACCTCCTGGACAACTAATGCTGCTATTGAAGCATGTCGGATGGCTTGTGGTGGGCACGGCTATTCTCATTGCAGCGGTCTTCCAAATATTTACGTCAATTTTACCCCAACCTGTACCTTTGAGGGAGAAAACACTGTCATGATGCTACAGACGGCTAGGTGAGCATGTGATTTGCAGTTCCTCTCTCTGTTAATAAGAACATTCAGGTCCTTAGCATTGGTTCCCATTCCCCTGTTCTCTCTTTGCATCGTGTTTGCCTTCCATCCTGACCCACTGTTTCTGTCTTGTGGTCAGACTAGGAAGCATGAAACACCTATCACAGGGGTTAAAGTCATTTCAAGAGTTTATTTCTGTTTCACAAGCAGCATAGTTACTGAAAGCATGTGTACTGGTGATTTTTAGGTTCCTGATGAAAAGTTATGACCAGGTGCACTCAGGAAAGTTGGTGTGTGGCACAGTATCCTACTTGAATGACCTGCCCAGTCAGCGCATCCAGCCACAGCAGGTAGCAGTCTGGCCTACTGTGGTGGACATCAACAGCCCTGACAGCCTCACAGAAGCATATAAGCTCCGCGCAGCCAGGTGAGTGCACCCTGAGGAGCTGGCCTAGGCAGCTGCCAGAGCCTCAGAGCTCAGGGCCCTTGGAAGAGGGCTATCGATCATTTCCTCCAAGCACTTTCTTTTCCTAACAGATTAGTAGAAATTGCTGCGAAAAACCTCCAAACTGAAATGATTCACAGAAAGAGCAAGGAGGTAGCGTGGAACCTAACTTCCATTGACCTTGTTCGAGCAAGTGAGGTCAGTAACAGTTCTCTTTCTCCCTGTCCTCTTCTCCCCCTCCCTCCCTCTCTATCTCTTTCTCTGTCCTTCCCTTCATCCCACACCCCCTCACCCCCATTTTCTTAGCGCCGAAACCCTGTCACTGTGTGTTGAATATTTTTCAGAGGTTCTCATCACCCTGGTGTTTTCTTTTTATCTAGGCACATTGCCACTATGTGACAGTTAAGCTCTTTTCAGAAAAACTCCTCAAAATTCAAGATAAACCCATCCACGCTGTCTTAAGGAATTTATGTCTCTTGTATTCTCTGTATGGAATCAGTCAGAAAGCAGGGGATTTCCTGCAGGTCAGTTTCTAAGTTTAAGTCCTTTTTTTCTGTGTGTGTAGAAAAACAGTTGTGCCCTACTTTATAGTTGTGTGTGTGTGTGTGTGTGTGTGTGTATAAATATCTGCATATATATGTGTGTGTGTGTGTTTGTCTTGTTTCTTTCAGGGGAGCATCATGACAGAGTCTCAAATTACCCAAGTAAACCAGCGAATAAAGGAGTTACTGACGGCAGTTCGCCCCGACGCTGTTGCTTTGGTTGATGCGTTTGATTTTCAGGATGTGACGCTTGGCTCTGTGCTTGGTCGCTATGACGGAAATGTATATGAAAACTTGTTTGAGTGGGCCAAGAAATCCCCACTGAACAAAGCAGAGGTAAGAAAAAACAGCAATGTCTTTTTCCCTTTTGAAATTTATTTAAATATTAAGACAGGAGAGACCTCTGAGAGTGATCCATCTGTGAAGGCTTGAAAGCTACTGTGGACACCTTTGGCGATCACTTTATTTGAACAGCAGGTTCAGAAGGGAACTGAGTCATTCCCACAGGAAGCAGGTTTTTAATTTCCTTGTCTATTTAATAATTGAAAATTTTCAAACATGAACGAAGTTAGGAAGCTGTAATGCCCCTCCACGCCCCCTTTGTCAGTCTTTAGCAACTGTCTGCTCAGAGCCAGGTGTTTCATCTGAATCCCCAGCCCCTACCTCCTCCCCCTGGAGATTATTTTGAAATAAATCCAAGATAGCAGGTAACTTGATCTATAGATGTTTCAGTATATATATCTCTAAAAGATAAGGACTCTTTTTAAAAACATAGCCACAATACCATTCTCACAACTAAACAAATTAATACTAATTCTTTAATATCATGAACTAACCCAAGCAATGTCCAGATTTTCCCAACTGGCTCTATCGATACTTATTTTCTCCTTCAGTTTCTTTGAATCAGGATCTAAGTAAGGTCCAGAAAGTTTTTCAATTAAAAGTGTGCTGTTTTACAAATTGTACCATTTGCAACAACATGGATGGAGCTAGAGGGTGTTATGCTTAGTGAATAAGCCAGGCAGAGAAAGACAAGTGCCAAATGATTTCACTCATTTGTGGAGCATAACAACAAAGCAAAACTGAAGGAACAAAACAGCAGCAGAATCACAGACTCCAAGAAGGGACTAGCAGTTACCAAAGGGAAGGGGTTGGGCAGAGTGGGTTTGGAAGGAGGGAGAAGGGGATTAAAGGGCATTATAATTAGCACACACAATATAGGTAGGTCACGGGGTAGACAGTACAGCACAGAGAAGACAAGTGTCTCTGTAGCATCTTACTACTATAAATGGACAATGACTACAGTGGAGTGAGAGGGGGACTTGATAATATGGGTGAATGTTGAAACCACAGTATTGCTCATGTGAAACCTTTCATAAGATCGTATGTCAGTGATACCTCAATTTTAAAAAAGTGTGCTGTTTTACATGTGCAAGCTCCTTGTCAGTGATCTTTCTCTCTCCCCTCCCTACAGGTCCATGAATCTTACCATAAGCACCTGAAGCCGCTGCAATCCAAGCTCTGAACTGTCTAGGTGACAAGTTGAATCTGCTCTAGAAAGCAGCGGTACTTGACTTCCCTTTTACCATCACACAAATCTTCATGGAATCTTCATCAAATTCAGAGAGCTCTGGTGCAAATGATAAATTGATTCCTTTCCTCTTTTTATAAATGAAGAAAAAAGGACAGATTTCAACGATTAAATGAAAAAACAGATGTGTTTTAAGTGCAGTTAACACTGAAAGAGACCTATTAAGCATCAGAAAAAGCTTTAAGAAATGCAGTATGACTTCATTTGTAATGCTGCTGATCCCAGTAGGCCATGACTTTTGATAATTAGTAGAATTTAACTACTAAGTAGTTAATTATTTTCACATCTTAATTGCTAATCACTGGATATATGTGTTTTTAAGCAAAGGTATTTTTTAAGTGGAGTAGAACCCCTCGAGGTTTTCCTGCTCAATGTCTACCACTCTTGCCATCGGCCCTGGCTAAGCAGGACTGGAGGAAAGGGATTGTGGGAAAGAAGATAATCAGGAAACTTAGTGTGAGTGAGTTGTGCTGGTCACACTGACGCACCTTCTGCCTGCTTGCCCTCCTTTGCTGATGTAGTGTCCTATCTGACTCTTCATGGAAGGGAAGGGTGTTCACACAGGCCTCCTACGGGATCATTGTCCCATGTAGCTAGAATTAATCCTCCATTTGACGGGTCCCTAAACTGTCACTTTGTCCCCAACTCCTTGGGAAGGAATAGGTAGCAAAGTTACCTCTACCTATAATTTTTGGTACCTGGTGGGGCCTCAGTCAATGGTGTTTTATCTCTCCGCCTCCCTCCCTCTCCTGAAGGAGATGCTGAAGAAAGGAGAGTCACAGTTCCTTGTTAGGAGAGTTAATGTAGGCAGATCTCAATTACGGTTACTGTAACTTTGGTGACCCTATCAGCTGGCTTTTCTGGAAGAATAGATTTCATACATTCTGTCATTTTGGCATAAGCCCTTAAAATGCTTGGAGGTTTAGGATGTCTAGCCCTACAAAAATAAAAGTGTCACTGAGGTTCTCCTCGACATCTGAAGAGCAGCGCAGAAAAATCCTTTGACAAACTATGTGTTCTGATTTTTGGATCAGAAAAGTATAATCAAAACTGTGGCTATGGGTAAATGCAAGTTCCTATAATCTATTTCTTACTATGTATCTGGCTTTATTCTCAGTATGCTTCTAGGAGCTTTATCTGAATTGCTAAATTGTCCTTTTAGCTGAAATCTAATTTGCATACTCATTCTATATTTAAAGGTCAAACATGGACCTCTTAATGAATTTTTCTCTTTAAAAAATCAATGTAAAACACATCACTTGATTTTTTTTCTTTAACTATATCTGCAGCATCTGCCTCATGAAAACAATTGTTCTAGAATCAGTAATAAGAATGTAGTATAATTCATTTGAAATGTAATTCCTACCTTGGGACCTGACATAAAATCTATCCCAGTAGAACCAGTAGTGTGAGGCTGAGGTCCAGCAGAGATACTCTCTATGGACACAAGCCTTAATCCTGTCACCAGGAGAACTAATGGATAATTGTTAAGACAGAAGTAAAAAAGCACTCCGTGTTAATATTAGGGTATATCTGACAGTACAGATTTTGGGAAGTAACGTAAATATAAATTATTTAATATTGACCTGTTAAATATAGAATCGTTTCAAAATTTGTGACTAAATTCCTTCCTTATTCACAGATGAACATCTCTAGTCAGGATCTGAGGGTGTGTGAAATGACACCCACCTAATCCAGAGTGCAAAGGTCAGGAGGTGTCTCTTAGCAGGTCTGAGCAGGTTGTAGGCACTACAGAGGCACCTTCAGTCCAGCACCTTAAGTTTTATTTTAAAACTGATATTTGATAACTAATTTTGTTAACATTGGAATGTTTTGTCTTGAGCTGTATTCACTGTAATCAAAGAATAAAGATAGTAACTCTCTCTCGGCAGACAACTCAGAATCTGCAGTAGTGGTCTGTATGTAGCGGCGTGGGTATGCAGGTCCCTGCCGGGGGTACACGATCTCCTGGCTACTTGTTTAAGGAAGCAGCAGGTCCAGTTTGTTCTCCCTAAGAAGCCAGACTTTGCCAGATAAGTTTTGTTCTATTGGGTTCTTTGGTGAACCATTTTCACAAAAAGTACAAAGGTTAATTTCAGGGTAGTCTTCTCCAAAATGATAAATACTGAGTAGAACTAATGAGGTTTTTCTAGTAGATGAGAACTGAAATAAACCTTTTTTTAAAAAGTACTCTAAACAGTACCCAATATTGAAAATTTGAGTTTAATAGAGATGTTTGTTATTTGTAATGAGTGAAGGTCGATTCTTCCTCAGGTATTTGGAACTCTACTTTATGTTCTACCAGATGCATGCTGAGGTGTGTGTCAGTGTCTGGACATTAATAACCTCAAAGCACAGTTGGTTCTAAAGCCTTGGGGAACCCTTCATGTTCTTGTCAAAAGAACATAGCACTGCTAAGTATCAGTTTATCTTCAGAACATTGTCTTAATGGTGATATTAACTATGTTCACATGCTTTCTGAGAGCTCACTGCTTGTGATTTCAAATTTACATATACCTGGAGGCAGTTTATAGTCCCTAACTTAGCATGTTGGATGTTGGTTCTTGGATTTTCTTCAGTGCAGGGCTTTGGTTGGAGAAATAACTTCAAATTCATGATCCTGGAATTTTCTGGGGACTGAAAATTCTTCAGATAACTGCTAATCAAAGTTCTTCCTCTCCTTTTCTATTTCCACTGATCTTAATAGTAAGGAAGGAATTAGTTACAAATAGTCTGTAACACCAGCTAATCTTCTTTATATATGTAGAAGGTATGCCTGGGGTCATAGGTTGTCTACAAGCAGTAATTGCTAATGCAGCTGGAGAGAGGAACAGTGCCAGGAATTGATTATTCTACCTGAGACCAAGAGTCTTGTTCACCTTCCTGACTCAGATAAAGGTTTTGATCAGTTTCATAGAATAATGCAGAGATCATCTTAGCTAATTGAATATTTACTACTACATTCTTGGAGGGTAAGACCAGTGCACACTTAACAAATGACTAGTGACTTTTCATCTTAAAATATTGGTGTTTTGCTTTCATCTATACATTAAAATTTTCACTTACTATGGTCTGTGACACTAAACATAAAAATACATAAGGAAACTGGACTTAACCAAGTGTTGACCATTGCAATCCTGCAAATTCCTAGATTCCAAGGTTTGTTTTTGATATTGCCTTAAATTTAAGTGGGCCATTGATTATCTGGGAAAAATCATGGAAGATTGGGAGTGATTTTAAGAATAATGAACCGAAATAAGTTGTTTTGCCACAATTATGTGGACTCTAACAGATTAGGTAACAAGTATATGATCTTCCACATAATATTCAGACTGCTGGCTAGTACTTGGTAAACACCATTTTTTTCCCCACTTGCTATGAATTCAAGGAAATGATTTGTATCTTTTGGAGTGTATAATTTACTTTGCTACCTTTTTTCTTTCTGTTGTGGTTTGAGTTTGGTTTCTAACTGACAAGGTGCATTAGAATGTATTGTTACCCATCCTTGGCTGGAGGTGTCTGGGATGGGAGTACCCAGGAGGTGCATGGGTCCAGAGCATGTGGATCATGGTCAGAGGTGACCCGCCAGCACTGCTTGGCCTGTGGGTAAGCCAAACCACTAACACTAACCCCTTTTCCTTTGTAAAATTGAAAGCCCCTTAATAAAGTCTGTAACAGAAAGTGTTACGTGTCTTTACTGGGCGATGGTGTTGGGTTTCATTTAGGGCTTCGCAGCTTTGATTTTCATAATTGAACGAAGGCCACAGCCACTTCCCTAAGTTTTGGTTCGTGGGCGAAGTGCGTGATTATATGTCATATCGATAACGCGTTTCCCAAGCCCTCCACGCCGCTACGAGTCAGCCCTTAGAAGAGTGCTGGTGGAATTAGGTGTTCGGGCTTGGAGTCCAGGCCCCAACAGTCCTCCAGACCTCAGGAAGGGCGCGAGGAAGAGGCCCGGCGCCTTGTTCCAGGAGTGGCGTTGAGACAGCTCCTAGCAACGTGCGGAGTGACAAACGGAGGTCCAGCCCGACTAACGGCTGCGGCGGGGCACCCTGGGAAATGTAAATGTAGTTGATATCGACGTCCCCTCGGCTCCCGCAGGTGAGCGGACCTCGGACTACAGCTCCCAGGTTGCATCGCGCCTCGCCCTTCTTCCGGGGGCCGGACGATTGAGAGTCCGCGGAGCTCCGAGGCGGGAGTCCTGACCAGCTGCGCTCGAGAGGAACCGGAGCCAGGGCCTATGGCTGGGGCAGGTCCCAGCGGCTGCGCCTCCGCGAGGAATGGCCCGTAACCTGGGGGATTTCAGGCGCAGGGATTTCAGGAAGGATCGTCGGCCGCGCGCGGGGCCGAGAAGGTCTGGGCGTGCAGAAGGGGTGACGCACGGAGGGGCGCGCAGTCTCGGGACAGAGGGTTGACTCCGAGAGGACCCTCGCAAAGGCCCTTGCTAAAATGCCTGGCACGGGCGAGCAGATGCCATGACGCTATGGTACCCTGTGCCCTTTGATCTTGGCAAACCTTAGAAATTACCGCGGCCTGTCAGGCTGGGGCAGGATCAATAGGAGATGGCCTAAGTTCCTGGATGGGATATGAGACAAAACATGTTTGGACTTCCAGGTCGTCAAAATTGTCATTACAGAGAAAGAAACACAAATATTCAGAGTGGCATCTGTACATAACCCCAGATAAACTTTTTAATCTAATAACAGGACAGGACACCACCAGAGAAACAGAGGTGGCGCCCTCACTCCTTTCTCCCAAGGCCTGGGAAAAGTCGGTTTTGGTAACATTGAGGAGGGGAAGGGAGAAAGTCGTAACTAAGGAAAACAGTTCTCTATTAATGGAGTGAGTTGAACTTACAGTTAGTGTGAAGGGAAATCTTCCACCATCAGTAAAAATAGTGTCAAGGAGTAACCAGTGCTCACATCTGCTCTTTGTGCTGAATGCTACATAGAAAGGAGTCCTCGGTGTGCCTAGGAAGGTGTATTGGCAGGAGTGCCAGGCACCGCCTCTTTTCTGAGGTGGGTCCTTGCCATCTCCCTCATCCTCTTGAAGGTTAAGGGATGAGAGCCGCTGTGCTCCATGCAAGTATTGTGAGGCCTTGGAAAGCTCAGTAAGTTACCCAGAGCACATTGTTTTGCATCTGAGTTGCTCCTGGTATAAAGAATTTTTAATATATGGAAATAGGTTTTGACCTCTTGAATGGGTAAAAGTAGAAGAAGTCTTGATAGGCTTTGGACCCAAGCATTGTTAAAGCTATGTCATTTTAACTACTTGAATTTTCTTCATTAGGAAAGATGAGCCTGGTGTGGGCAAAATTTCAAATGAGCTGGACAGCACTGTGAAGGAGCTGCAAGCAGCCCCCAGATCCTTGAGATGGCAGAATGCAGGGTAAGATGTATGGAGATATGAACCCCCTCATCCCACTTCCACCCCCAGAATCTTGACCACATGAAGTACTTTGGGGGCTGGGTAACAAGGGCCAGGATGAGGTCCCCAGAGAAAAGAACTGGGAAGTAGAATTGATGTCAAACTTCTTTTTAAGCATTGAGCTTCTAAATATCCAGCTGGAAGCATTTTTAAGTATCTCTTGCTGGTATTGTGGCATCAGGCATCAGAACAGAGGAAAACATTCCCTGTCACAGTACATCCAGCCTAGGAGGGTTCGAGTGTAGTGTACGGAAATCAGGGAAAAGGAGAGAGTTCTGCCCACTGGATGGCAACAGCAGTGGGGCCACTGCTGGTTGGCAGGGACTGTTTCCACAATCTGAATGAGTCTATTCCCAGAAACTCCAGGAAACCATAAAGGGCTTCTGTGTCTAAATGCCATTGGTGCTCCTTTTCTTCTGGTGACTTGGCAAAAAGCAAAACAATTTATTCTGCATTCTTGGTTTCAATACACCTTCACTGTTTGAATCTGTTGATGTCACTTGTTTTTCCCATTTTAGGCACCCAAAACCAAGAAGGGGTTGAAAGGTGAGTGGAGAGACAGAGCATCGCCCTTACATCCAAAATAATTCCCCCACCTTGGGTCCAGAAATCACTTAGGCATGTCTGTGTCTAAATATTCTCCGTGTGAGTTTGCTGATTTCCCTGTAATTCCACAGGCAGTTTTGGTCTCACTAGGAGGACTCCCTGGAAGCCACTGCTGCCCCATTGGCCCTCAGATCATTCAGAAACTAGGGATGGGGCTTGGGGGAAAGTCCTTCTCCTTGGGCTCTGTATCCAGAAGTGTACAGTTGGGATCAAGGGCAGTTAAGGCACTTAGGCTGCATGCAGGAACTAATGCAGTATGAGTGTTGGGTTCCCCCACAGGTCCCCATCAGAGATGGCCAAGGAGGCATGCCTCCAGACCAGTTCAGGGGGTCTCAGATGGAAGGGTACAAGGAGGCTCTTGGTATGAAAGGTGCTTGTAAGTGCTTAGAAATCTCTGTCACTTCTCCGCAAGAAGCACATGGGGCTTTGTTCAGAGTCTGGAAGACTGGCTTGTTGGCCTGTGTCTCATTGAATATAGGTTCTACTAAAAATCTTCACCATCATCCTTTGAGAAAGTTATTTCAATTTCTACCCTTGGGTCTTTCATCAAGGCACTGTGACTGTCAGAGAATTAGCAGACATCTCGTGGCCAATGAAGAAAGAGCTAAGGCTAAACCCAACATCGAAGAACTCTGCGTCCTGGGGTGAGGCCTCAGGCATGAGGCTTACTAGGACATTTTTCTTTCGTCTTGACAGCTCCTTTTCTGTTCCAGGCTCCATTGATGATGTCCTTGGTGACCTCTTGGGGGATGAGAGTAAGTACCTCTTCCCCAGAACCCCCTGATTTAAGCTTCTTCTCTTTTTCTCAATTAAGATCGAATTCATATAAAATTTGCTCTTTTAAAGTGTGCAGTTTGTTGGGGCTTTTTTTGTTTTTATTAAGGTATCATTGATACACTCTTATGAAGGTTTCACAAGAAAAACAATGTGGTTATTACATTCACCCTTATTATCGAGTCCCCCCCACCCCATTGCAGTCACTGTCCATCAGTGTAGTAAGATGCCACCGAGTCCCTATTTGTCTTCTCTGAGCTACACTGTCTTCCCCGTGACCCTGCACACCATGTGCACCAATCATGGTACCCCAACAATCCCCTTCTCCCTCCGTCCCCACCCCCTCTCCCCCACCCCTCCCCTTTGGTAACCACTAGTCCCTGATTGGAGTCTGTGAGTCGCTGCTGTTCTGTTCCTTCGGTTTTGTTTCATCGTTACACTCCACAAATGAGGGAAATCATTTGGTATTTGTCTTTCTCTGCCTGGCTTATTTCACTGAGCCTAATACCCTCTAGCTCCATCCATGTTGTTGCAAATGGTAGGATTTGTTTTCTTCTTATGGCTGAATAATATTCCATTGTGTATATGTACCACATCTTCTTTATCCCTTTATCTACTGATGGACACTTAGGTTGCTTCCATATCTTGGCTACTGTAAAAAGTGCTGCAATAAACAGAGGGGTGCATATGTCTTTTTGAATCTGAGAAGTTGTTTTCTTTGGGTAAATTCCTAGGAGTGGAATTCCTGGGGTCAAATGGTATTTCTATTTCTATTTTTAGTTTTTTGAGGAACCTCCATATTGCTTTCCACAATGGTTGACCTAGTTTACATTCCCACCAGCAGTGTAGGAGGGCTCCCCTTTCTCCGCATCCTCACCAGCACTTGTTCCTTAGCTTTTCTGTGTTGTCCATCCTAACTGGTGTGAGGTGATATCTCATTGTGGTTTTAATGATGATTAGAGTGATGTGGAGCATCTTTTCATATGCCTGTTGGCCATCTGAATTTCTTCTTTGGAGAACTGTCTGTTCATATCCTCCACCCACTTTTTAATAGGGTGATTTGCTTTTTGGGTGTTGAGGTGGGTGAGTTCTTTATATATTTTGGATGTTAACCCCTTGTCGGATATGTCATTCACAAATATATTCTCCCAGCTTGTTGGTTTTTAGTGTACTCACCAAGTTGTTTAGCCGTCCACAATCTAATTCCAGAACATTTTCATCACAGAGAAGCCACACCCATTAACAGCGCCTGTCACTCTCCCCTCTCCCACCCGGAGACAGCCACATAATTGCTTATTTTCTCCTTGGTCTTCTAGATGCTCTCTATCAAATGGAATCGTATGGTATGTGGCTTCCTACCACAGCATTTTCCAGGTCTGGCTGCAGCATAGCATCCCTTTCTGCATTACTTTCCACAGCTGGACAATATTCCAGTGTTTGCATGGACCACATTTTTTTCATTCATCAGCTGATGGATATTTGGGTGGTTTCCACATTCCAGCTAGGCTATTGTGAATAATGCTGTTATGAGCATTCATGTACATGTTTTTGTGTGGATATATGTTTTCAGTTCTTCTGGGTATAAATAGGAGTAGAATTACTGGACTGTGTGGTAACTCCGTTTACCTTTTTGAGGAACTACCAAATTATTTTCCTCAGCGGTAGCACCGTTACATTTGCACCATCAGTATAAGAAGGTTCCAATTTCTCTACATCCTTGCATGTACTTGTTTTCTTTTTTAAAATATTGAAATAGAGTTAGCATCATACTACACTGATGGACAGTAATTACTATGGAGTGGGGTAGGGGACTTGATAATATGGGTGAATGTTGAAACCACAATGTTGCTCATGTGAAACCTTCATAAGATTGTATATCGATACCTTAATTTAAAAAATTGAAATAGGGTTGAGATGCACTGTTATATTGGTTTCACACAATATGGTGATTCAACAATTACATGCATTGCAAAATGCTCACCACAGTTTAGTTACCATCTGTCACCATACAAAGTCATTACAGTATTATTGACTATATTCCCTATGCTGTATATTCACCCTTATGACTACTTTATTTTATAACTTGTACTTTTTTATCCCAACCACCTATATCCCCATACCTGCCCATGGCAGGTACCAGTCAGATCTCTGTGTTTATGAGTCTATGTTTTGTTTGTCTGTAGACTCTAAAAAACAAAACATATAAGTGAAATCACATGGTTTTTGTCTTTCTCGCTGTGACTTATTCCACTTAGCATGGTCCCTAGGTCCATCCATGTTGTTGCAAATGTCAGGATTTCATTCTTTTTTATGGCCTCTTTTTTTATTGCAGCCATCCTATTAGGTATAAAGTTGCATCTTGTGCTTTCAGTGTACTTTCTCTAATAAGTTATGATTTTGAGCATATTTTCATGTGTTTGGGGCCGTTTATATATCTTCTTTGGAGACAGATCATTGCCCATTTTTAAACTGGGTTGTCTCTTTGCTTGTTGAGTTGTAGAGTTTCATCTAGACTGTGGGTACTGGTCCCTTCTCCTGTGTGTCCACGTCTGCTGTACTGAGGAGCAGGGCTTCAGGGTCTTGGAAAGTTCCAGGGAAAGCCAGGCTGAGGTTCCCCCAGCCTGGCCCAGAAGAACCCAGGAAACACAAGCCCATGTACTGCAACTGACAGCTGTGGGTGGGGGAAGTGCCTTGTTCTCCCCACAGTTCCATGGGGTGGATGGGTGGGCTATGGCTCTTCATTTGGCACCAGTTGGCATTTAGGGTTGACTTCCTACTTGGAAATACACTGCCCCCTCCCCTGTTCAGGTTTTTCAAAAGATTATGTAAGGACCTTCCATGCGGCTGGTTTCCTTCCTCCAAACAGGCCCTTTCAGCAGGAAGGCCTGGAGACAGCTCGGTGGGCCATGTGCAGTCCTTGCCACCTTGACTCCAGTTCCCTGTAACTGAGTGGCATCTCTTCTGTTTTCTTCCAGTGACACTACCTGAGAAGCCTGTTAAACTAGCTTCATGTGCCAGAGATGCCACGGGTGTAGCTCAGGTGCCTCCTTCTTCAAGGGCTAGAACAAAGTAAGCACAGACCAGCTTGGGTAGCCATGACCCATTTTAGTCCACAGGGTCTTGCCTCGCCACCCACCACTGTCCACTTACTATGTGCCCCACCTTCCTGGCCTTCTTTCCTCTGCTCCTGGTCAGTGAAGGAGCCCGGCGGGTAGAAAAACAGCTGAACTGGAGGGCAGAAGTCCTGGCTGCTAGGCCTACATTTGTGACTTACTCTGTGACCTTGGGAAATTTCTGAACCTCTCTGAACCTCAATTTTATTATCCTCAGAAGAAGAGGATCGGCCTAGATTGGTGATTTTCAGATTGTGTTTGTTTTTCTAAAGTTCTCCTGGCAGTTGAGAAGCAGTGTGAGTGCTCTGGCCTCCACGTTCATTTTAGCTCAGGCATTTTAGCTCTCCTACCCATTGTTCTTAACAGTTTATTTTTAAAGGGGCTCTGCTGCTTTAAAAATAAGTTGGAAATCTCTGCATAGGTAGCCTGTGAAATTCCTTTTAGCAATTCTGTTCCTCGGAGAAGGGTGTCTCTCCAGATCCACTTGAACTGTCTAAGCCACTCTTTCTTAGAATTATCTGGTGCCCTGGGCCTATGGGTGGGTGCTGATTCCACCCCTTTGCAGGTTCCTCCTGAAAAATGACACGTTGAGCACCATGGCAGGCCTGGAAGGAGCTGATGTTGAGGTGAGGCTAGGCTGTTCCCTGCACCCCATCCTCTCAGCTCATCCCCAAGGACAGTGCAATGTGTGTGGTGGCCGAGAGGCTGCTCACAGAATGGTTTAGAAGACCCTGCAAAGCCGGTTTGTTCTTAAATACATCAGTACCAAGGGCTGCCAAGTGGACCCAAAGAAACTTCTTTTCATTCCTACCAGTAAGAGAGCTAAGTTTCTAGAAAGCCCCTAACAGCTGTTGGGGGCCTTGGATGTCGCCCCGTCTAGCGCCAGCCTTCCCATTTGTCCAGGTACATGGGTGGCAAGTAGCACCTTTGAGGCCTTCCTGTGGTGGAAGTGGTCTTTCCAGTTGGCAGAAACAGAAAGTGGCAGCACTTCCTCAGTCTCCACACTGGGCAGGTCTGACTTCAGACAATAGCCAAGCCCAGTGAGGGCAGGGCCCTCCTCCTCATGCGCCGTTGGCTGAGCTCTGCTCCTGCTGAGCTGTGTGCCCCGACAGAAGCAGAGTAACGAGGGCTGGAGTCCTGAGCTCTCCTGGGTCTTGACTAACACACGTCCTTGCCCTCCTGCGGACTCAGGTTTCCGACATCACTGCAGATCCGCAGACTTTGCCCCAACCTATGAAGGTGATGGAACAGGCGCATGGCCCTGGGAACCGGGGCAGCTGTGGGGGCAGGATGTTTGTGCCAAGCGTTTATCCTCCCTCTAATTTCTCCCTTCTCGATTTGTTTCTGAGCCCTTCCTGGCGTAAGAATGGAGCCCATCCATGAGCTATTGCCTTCTTCCCCCTCTGACTATAAGTCAGTTTCCTGGTCTATAAAGATTCGCCCACCCAGGGACACGCCATGCCATAGTCCTCTGGTGAGATAGGGCTGGCACCCTCCGTCACCACCACCGAGAAGCCAGAAGTGGAGACTGTCTCCTCTAAAGCTTGTTCTTAGCCCTTCTCCCCATTTCTCTCCACATCGCCTGCCTTCCCCTTCAGTTACAGCTGCCCTCTTAACGGACCAAGCCCCAAACTGATCCTTGCCGTGGAATTCAAAGACATAAATTCTGGACCAGCGTATAAGAGCACAGTGCCACCGGCCTCGGGCGGCCTGGCCGGGTCGAGAACATTAGGTGGCCCTGTGTTCCCCCCGCCTCGTCTGGCAGCACCTCGGCCTCCCATCCCTCCACCTCACCCAGGGTCCCTGAGCGCTTGCTTTCCGCCCTGAGGGAGTGGGCATCTGGTCTCTTCTTGGCTCCGGATGCAGCTTCTTTAACCTCCCCTTGAAACTGCTCTTCCTCGGGGCCAGCCAGCTGACACCCCCGGGCATGACCCTTGAGTCTGGTGACTCATCTTTCAGTGGAGACTTTGAGTCGTTTGTTCTAGAACCATGAGCTGAACCCTCACTCCCCCCTGCTTACCTTTGGTTCCCTTCTCTTTCCCAACTCATATTGTCTCTGAAGAGTTTCCTCATTTTCCTTTGTTCCCTCACTGTCCTGCCCCCCGGGTGCCGACTGCCCTCCTGAGGGAGCCCTCCTCCCCTTGTCCAAGTCCTCCTCAGCGGGTCTGTGCTGAGAGCCCTGCCCCCCCGCCTGCCTGGCTTCTTCATGGCGGTCTCACCGCCATCTCCGCAGAACAGTCACACACCGAACAATGCCCTCGCCACACCTCTGCCTCTGATTGCAGTTTGCCACCCAAGTCAGGTTAAGGGGGCCAAGTTTCTCTGACTGTGAAAAGAGGGGTGTCTTTTGCCTTGGGCCCCTTCTCACTGCCCAGTGGCAGTCCCTCTGGGAGTCTTAATTCCAGGGTGCTGCTATTTGGTTTCCACTGCAAACAGCGCTTCCACATTTGCTAAGACTGAGTGAGAAGCGGCTGAAGGCAGGTCTTAGTCCCCGCTTCGTTCTGGCTTCAAGGCAGCAGTGCTAGTAGGACCCAGTAGAGGCACTAATCCAAGACCCTTGGGCTTATCGGAGACAGAACATGTGAGACCTGGTGCCCCAGCCCTGTCTGTGTCCTTGCTCTGTAACCCTGTCAGGGTCAGTTCCCCAACCCGAATCCCCGTTTGTCCCACTGGGAAGTGGAGGCAGCGTCACTGCCTGGCTGCTTGGAGCACGAGGGTATCTAACAGCCAGCAGCTAAGCACCTGTGGGGTCTCCGCCCTCCTCCTGCCTTTCCAGGATCTGGACGACATGGACGCCCATCTCTTAGGTCTGAAGAAGTCTAATCTAGCCTCTAGCAAAAGAGCTGCAAAGGACTCTGGGAAAGAAGAGTTGCCTAGTAATCCCAAACCTGCCAACATGTTAATAGCCGATGAGAAAGGTGAGTGGGAGATAGCGCCTCGAATCTTGGGTCACTCTGGGGACGTGGAAGATGCCCTTGTCCTGTGGGTTTTCTCTGCCTGGATCAGGGGCTAGGCGCTAACTGAGTGTGTTAGTGTGTGTGCTGGGGACAGGGCCAGGTTGAGCTTCCTCCCTTCATAGGGCTGTTCGAGTCCCTCAGTCCAACATGGCCACTCCTGGAGGAGCCATGGTAGAATTTTATGGTACCCGTGCATCTCCCAAATGCATGGCTCTTTGGAGTGACTTGTGTCCAGGGGGCAGGAGGGAGCCTCCAACCCATGTTTCCCTGCCAGAGCCTGAGTGAGAACTGGGGAGGGGTAGACCCAGCCTCTGGCCTTCTCCACCCCCAGGAAGAACTTTGTGCCATCCAGTGGCCCCAATCAGGGTGTGGCAGAACCTCGGCCAGGAGAGCCCAGGCCCACCTTGCCTTCTGTTTGTTTCTTACAGGGAACACCATTCCCACCAAGAAGGCACCTCCTCCCAGCAGCTTTGGGCGTCAGTTCAGGAAGTTTTCCTATGAAGGTACCACAGGCCCCCAAGTCACACCTCTGGGGTACTGCAGCTCTGAGAGTGGAGCACCCTGGGCAATGTTGCTGTGCATCAGATGAGAAGCAGACAGCTGTGCCACTGATGAAACCAGGGAGGGACCAGTAATGTTGCATTGGCCCAGATGTTTGGACAACTTATTTGCAAGGACTTTGAGGCTGTCCATACATACATCAGACTGAAGACGTTAAAAAGCACAGGAACAATTCCCTTTCTATTCATGAATGCACAAATGTGTTACGTCTCTTCTGATGCCTTGGGAACATTTTCAGAAGGCTGTGCAGACAGTGGAGTCTGGGAGCCCACAGGCGAGCCAGGGTGGTTCTCCAGCGAGAGAGCCCAGGGCTGCTGTCCTGCCCCCCGTGCCCTTGCTGAGCCCAGTCTGCGTCACCTGCGTCAGAGCCCCCCTTACACAGTCCATGGTCGAGAACATTAGGTGGCCCTGTGTTCCCCCCGCCTCGTCTGGCAGCACCTCGGCCTCCCATCCCTCCACCTCACCCAGGGTCCCTGAGCGCTTGCTTTCCGCCCTGAGGGAGTGGGCCTCTGGTCTCTTCTTGGCTCCAGATGCAGCTTCTTTAACCTCCCCTTGAAACTGCTCTTCCTCGGGGCCAGCCAGCTGACACCCCCGGGCATGACCCTTGAGTCTGGTGACTCATCTTTCAGTGGAGACTTTGAGTCGTTTGTTCTAGAACCATGAGCTGAACCCTCACTCCCCCCTGCTTACCTTTGGTTCCCTTCTCTTTCCCAACTCATATTGTCTCTGAAGAGTTTCCTCATTTTCCTTTGTTCCCTCACTGTCCTGCCCCCCGGGTGCCGACTGCCCTCCTGAGGGAGCCCTCCTCCCCTTGTCCAAGTCCTCCTCAGCGGGTCTGTGCTGAGAGCCCTGCCCCCCTGCCTGCCTGGCTTCTTCATGGCGGTCTCACCGCCATCTCCGCAGAACTGTCACACACCGAACAATGCCCTCGCCACACCTCTGCCTCTGATTGCAGTTTGCCACCCAAGTCAGGTTAAGGGGGCCAAGTTTCTCTGACTGTGAAAAGAGGGGTGTCTTTTGCCTTGGGCCCCTTCTCACTGCCCAGTGGCAGTCCCTCTGGGAGTCTTAATTCCAGGGTGCTGCTATTTGGTTTCCACTGCAAACAGCGCTTCCACATTTGCTAAGACTGAGTGAGAAGCGGCTGAAGGCAGGTCTTAGTCCCCGCTTCGTTCTGGCTTCAAGGCAGCAGTGCTAGTAGGACCCAGTAGAGGCACTAATCCAAGACCCTTGGGCTTATCGGAGACAGAACATGTGAGACCTGGTGCCCCAGCCCTGTCTGTGTCCTTGCTCTGTAACCCTGTCAGGGTCAGTTCCCCAACCCAAATCCCTGTTTGTCCCACTGGGAAGTGGAGGCAGCGTCACTGCCTGGCTGCTTGGAGCACGAGGGTATCTAACAGCCAGCAGCTAAGCACCTGTGGGGTCTCCGCCCTCCTCCTGCCTTTCCAGGATCTGGACGACATGGACGCCCATCTCTTAGGTCTGAAGAAGTCTAATCTAGCCTCTAGCAAAAGAGCTGCAAAGGACTCTGGGAAAGAAGAGTTGCCTAGTAATCCCAAACCTGCCAACATGTTAATAGCCGATGAGAAAGGTGAGTGGGAGATAGCGCCTCGAATCTTGGGTCACTCTGGGGACGTGGAAGATGCCCTTGTCCTGTGGGTTTTCTCTGCCTGGATCAGGGGCTAGGCGCTAACTGAGTGTGTTAGTGTGTGTGCTGGGGACAGGGCCAGGTTGAGCTTCCTCCCTTCATAGGGCTGTTCGAGTCCCTCAGTCCAACATGGCCACTCCTGGAGGAGCCATGGTAGAATTTTATGGTACCCGTGCATCTCCCAAATGCATGGCTCTTTGGAGTGACTTGTGTCCAGGGGGCAGGAGGGAGCCTCCAACCCATGTTTCCCTGCCAGAGCCTGAGTGAGAACTGGGGAGGGGTAGACCCAGCCTCTGGCCTTCTCCACCCCCAGGAAGAACTTTGTGCCATCCAGTGGCCCCAATCAGGGTGTGGCAGAACCTCGGCCAGGAGAGCCCAGGCCCACCTTGCCTTCTGTTTGCTTCTTACAGGGAACACCATTCCCACCAAGAAGGCACCTCCTCCCAGCAGCTTTGGGCGTCAGTTCAGGAAGTTTTCCTATGAAGGTACCACAGGCCCCCAAGTCACACCTCTGGGGTACTGCAGCTCTGAGAGTGGAGCACCCTGGGCAATGTTGCTGTGCATCAGATGAGAAGCAGACAGCTGTGCCACTGATGAAACCAGGGAGGGACCAGTAATGTTGCATTGGCCCAGATGTTTGGACAACTTATTTGCAAGGACTTTGAGGCTGTCCATACATACATCAGACTGAAGACGTTAAAAAGCACAGGAACAATTCCCTTTCTATTCATGAATGCACAAATGTGTTACGTCTCTTCTGATGCCTTGGGAACATTTTCAGAAGGCTGTGCAGACAGTGGAGTCTGGGAGCCCACGGGCGAGCCAGGGCGGTTCTCCAGCGAGAGAGCCCAGGGCTGCTGTCCTGCCCCCCGTGCCCTTGCTGAGCCCAGTCTGCGTCACCTGCGTCAGAGCCCCCCTTACACAGTCCACGCCCTCCAGGTGCTGAGAGGCTTGTGGATGTACTAGAGCAGCTAGAAATCTCCACTCCAGTGAAACTTCCCCCAGCACAGCACAGGGCTTGTTTCCCTGAACAAACCGTGCGGTCTGACCTGTACTTTCCCTTCTGACCATGAGACTTGGAAGACCCATTGGCAGGACTTCTCTCCGACGAAGAGGAAGGAACCGCCATGAAGCCACTCAGCACAGAGAGTAAAACAGCTCTGGAAGAGAGCCCAGCCCCAGTCAGAGATCAAGGTAGGGGTGGTGGGCTTGTTAAGTCATCGGGGACAGATGCAGTTGGTGGCAGGCTCGCTGAACTTGGAGTGAAGAACCAGAGGCCCCGCCAGGCAGGGACCACAGAGATTATCAGAGCAGAGAGGGGATTTGTGAGGCCGGGAGTGGGTGGGAGAAGCAACTGCTGTGCGGACCAGACACGTGCGAAGTCCCCTGCCCCACGGAGAGGTAGTCCTGCAGAGAGACGCCCCCTTAACCCACGCAGATATCACAGTTGAGGGCATGGAGGCCATGGGCATTGTGCCACATTCTGTCTTTTAGGTCCTTCTATTCCTCTAACTCCTGGGGACACCCCAGTCCGAAAAAAAGAAGAATTTCTGTTTGACGAGGGGGATGACATCATGGCTGCCCTGGGGTTTGGAGACAGCCCCAAAGCAGAGAGGAGGCAAACGGGAGACCAGCAAGGGTCCTTGTGAGCAGAGAGTCCCTGCCAGGCCGCTGCCTCAGACCCATGGAAAGGCTAGAGGGTCGGGAGAAGGTGGGCCCACCTGGGAGCCCCTGGTATTCACACGTCCCTGCCCTGTGGCCTGTCCTGCAGGGAAGGGCCCCGCCCTGCTCGCTCCAAGCTGGATGAGCTGCTGGGTCGGGGCACTGCCTCCAAACTCCTGGCCCGCCCGGGCACCGGGGAGCACAGGGAGTTCAAGCTGGACAGGAAGTACCAGCAGCCGCCGGGTGAGGGAGCCGGCGGGGCAGGGGGAGGGGTTATGGACCCCCAGACCCGTAACAAGAAATGAGCTCTACACCCATTGTTTACACGTTTATAACAGACAGAAGTGTCATGAAATAATAATTACCCCTTGCAATACTCTGTTATTTTTTACTTGTATGCTTTTTGACTTATAAATACATTGGTTGTGAGTCATTAAATTGGTTTCTCAACCTGATAACAGCAGCTCACGGTTTGAGAAACACTCTGTGGACCAGGGTTTCTCAAAGCATCCGTTTACAATCGTTTTGTGACACAGCTCACTGGGCCTTCCCTAAAGGATGTCTGGGGTGGGGCCGGGCCCCATAGTGCATTTTTTATAGCTCCCAAATGATGTTCTGTGCTTGGGTCTGAGTCACAGAGCTGACACCCAGCCCCTCAGCCCTGCTTCCTCCAGAGCAATTGACTGACTGACCTTACATGTTAAACTGCCAGTTCATCTCTTTAAAAACAGAATCCTGCAGCCACAAAAGAGTTTGACTACCCCTGCTCTGGATAACAGACTCCTTACTTCACAGACAAAGACGACATGTGGGGTGACGAGGACTTCACCTTTGGGGCCTACCAGCCCACCGTGGGCTCCTCCGAGGGCCAGCAATCCCACCGGCAGTCGGTCAGGTAAACTGGGCCTGTGGGAAGCTTGACCTAGAGACAGGCTGCCCGCTGAGAAAGCCCCAGCCTTCCCCCATGCTGCTGTCTTGTTTGGGAGCCAGGGTGTTCAAGGCAGGTTCTGTGGCCAGAGGATGAGGGATGCTGCCCAGACTCACCAGTCCAGGCCATGCAGTGGAGATGGCTCCCAGCAGGAGCCTGGCCAGATGCTGCCCCCAGCCTCTTTCGAAGGAAAGGCCCCAAGGAGCAGAAGGCTGGCTGCACCCGAAGCCTCTTAGCACCATAAGCGATGAAACCTCCAGTCCTAGGGAACAGGAGCGTTAAGCTCCGTCGGCTCCTCAAACCCTGCTCCCTATGAGCACGGCCCTGAGGTCTGCCATGACGATCCCGAAAGGGCTGTCACCCCACTTTGCAACAGAACATTAAGCTAGTGGTAGAATGTTCTCAATGTGGAGTTTTTCTCCCAGTACATATTTTAAACTTTATATTTTGGAATAATTTCAAACCAACAGAGAAGTTACAAGAACAATACAAAGAACTCTCTTCTACTCTGCCCAGACTTGGTGGTCGTTAACACACTCGTTTCATCAGCCTCCCTTTCGATCTGAATGACGCTGTGTACACACTGACATTTTTTCCCAATCCCAGTGTATTCTTAAACTTGGGGCCTGCTGCCATTGGCCAGTAACACATACAGGAGATGGCCAAGTACACAAACTAATAACAAAATGACTATTGGTGGAAAACCCGAAACCACCTGATAACTGATTTTTCTCTAACATATGTGCCTGTGGTTGTAATTCTGTTCAGTATGGATGGCATTGTCCCCAGTTCATGGGCTGGAATTCAAAGTGCCTCTGCTGCAGAGCTGGTGCAGGCCATGTGCTTGCTGGGCCTCAGGCTGGCCATGCAGAGCCCTGGGCATCACAGACCCCTTGGTGTGGGCCTCACAGTCACCCCCAACTGTGGGGGGAAAGGCCAGTCGGGCTCGTGGGGTGGGCTGCTGGCCCTGCCTCAGACCTCGCCTCTCTATCTTGAAGTAGGTTCTTAGCAGAAGGTGGCACCGACCCCAAGGCAGAACCGGATGCCAAACAGAGCAGCGCAGCAACACCCAGTCCCTCCCTCCCCAGGAGGGGAGGAGCTGACTGGTTGGGCCTCAAGGACAACTCAGACCCGCTCCCTCCCTCTCCCACCAGAGAGGCTAAAAGGGGAGGCTCCTCTCTCTCCACACCCTCACTACCCGCTCCCAAAAGCCAACATTCCACCCCAGGCCAGCAGGCTGCCCAAGCTGGGCTGCCTTCAGCGGCAAAGCCACCACCCGAGGGTGCAGCTTCCCCTGCCAAAGCCAGCCAGGCTTCCCAGCTGGGAGCCGCTGAGGAAGAGGAGGAGGAGGATTGGCTGGGCCACGCCCTAGCTCGAAAGAAGTCCCGAGGTCTGGCCCGCGAGGAGCGCACCAAGGCCTCTGAGGGCCAGAACTCCATGGGGGCAGCAGGCCAGCCCCCCTCCGACAGGTATGGGCTTGGGCTGCTGTCTGGCGGAGGGAGGTTTGGGCAGGGGCGTGGGGGGCCGACCTTGCCCCTCTCCTGGCTGCAGTTAGGAGCGCTGGCAGGGAGCCTCCTCTTAGCTGTGTTTTCTCCCTCTTTGGGTACTACGGAGAGAGCCTCTGGCTCCCCACCCCGACCCAGGTGCCGCCACGAGGGACTAAGGGGCTCTTCACACTCATACCCTGGCTACCATGGGGACAGGTGCTCACTTGATCAGGCAGGGGACAGAGGGTGCTCTAATGTGACAAACGCACAGCCATCCTCGTGCCTCCAAGCAGAGGCTCTGCTGCCTATGGTGCCCTTGGTGCAAAAAAAAACCAAAAACAGCCTGCAAACTGTGCTCCTGTTGACCCAGACTTCAGTGAGTGGCACGCATGTGGGCTGAGGTTTGCTTGCGCTCTTTGTGTTAGAGAAGACACAGTGGCTAAGAGGTCGTTCCTGGGGGATGCCACCGAATGGCAGTCCTGTGAGGCTGCACAGGGAGTGACCTCCCAGGGCAGGAAGGCAAAATGGCTGCAAGGCTGGATGGGTTGGAGGAATTGGCAAAGTGCTGTGCAGCCAGAGCAAAGGGGAGGGGAGGTGGGCAACTGTGGGACAGGCCAGGGACATCACCCAGCCCTGTCTTTGGTGAATGGGGAAGGCAGCTTTGCCCTCGACCTGAAACCAGGGGAAAGCTTTCTTGCCAGCCCTGAGAGCAGCAGATGGGGGTGGGAATACCAGACAGGGGAAGAGAGGAGCCCAAAGGCAGCTGGACCTGGGAAGGAGGGAGCAGAGCCTCAGTCTAAGGCTCAGCAAAGTCGAATCCAGCACAAGGCCTTGAACTTGAGTTTGAACTTAAGTCTGGTGTCTATGACACGTCCATTGTCCTTCCTCAGGCTATCATCAGATGGTCAGTGCCCATTCACTGTGCCCCAGTGGGTGTTGGGGCCAGAGAGGACACCGGAAGGCAGGGGCTTAGCCTCCCAAGATGAGATGGTGGGGACAGGGGGAGGGCTGAGGGAAGGCAACACAGCTTCCCGTCCTCATCCAGCCTGGCCTGGACCTTCTGCCACCTTTGCTCTAATGTTTGCTTCCTCAGCTGGCCTGTTGCCGGCACTCAAGGACTCAAGCAAGCAGCTGCTGGACGGACCTCAGGGACAGCCACACAAAAGCCGCCCACCAGGCTTGCCACCTCGGGGTATGTCTGCAGCCAGGACTGAGGGTGGGCGAGAGGCCAAGTGAGGGCTGGCCTGGGCCTCCTTCCTAAGAGACAACAGATGACCATGCTGGGCTCCGACTTGGTCACTGTGGTGTGTGGTGTTCAGTATCTTGTATCAGGACTGCTGATGAAGGGGACCTGAGGCAGGTCCCGGTCTCCTTTATATAACTGAGACCTCACTCCTAGTAACCCACCAGCCTCCGGGCTTTCCGGTCAATGATCTGAATCTGACGTCTTCTTTTACTGCCCACGCCAACCCTCCCCTTCTCTCCTGCATCCTGCACAGAAGGCTGTCATTGCCACCCTCCCCGTCTCTGTCCTCAGGTCCTCTGTGACTTGTAACCAGGCCACTCTGGCCCTCCATGCAGGTGACCCAAAGAAGGGAACAGCCCCTGGAGACCTCTCTGGCATTGGTTTGTTTTCTGCTTTGTTTGGGGGTTGAACTTGGGTAAGGAAGAGGCCCTTTGCGCCTCCTTCAGGGCTCCCGAAGACAAGTGGAGCTGGGCTCTCCTAACACACACGAGCCCCCTCGGCCCCCTGGACCTTCCACTTATTTCTTGCTGTTGATTTTCAGAGCCTGCAGTTTGGCTCCCAAGCTCCCAGGAACCCACAGAACTTTCTGTTCCGGTCCAGGTAGGAGGGCTGTGCAAACAGGTGCAGGTCTTGCATGGGGCAGCTCTCCAGCGATCAGAGGCATCAGTGAGAGGTCTGACCTGGCAGCCCGCCGGGAAGAGCACGTCACGGTGTCAGAGAGCTCGCCCCACCCAGCACTCTCCTAACGGAGCCTTGCCGCTCTGGGGCAGAGTTGGGTGCTAACGTGTTGGCACCCAAGGGAATTAGAGGTGGCACCCAGGCAGGCTGGGAATGCTCTGTCAGAAGACAGGGCTGCAGCCATCCTGCTGTTCTGTCCAGAAAGCCTCCTACATCCTTGCCTACTTCCCTCTGTTTCCCAGGTGTGGCAGTCACCTCTGACCCCTGAGCCCGAGGAGGCCTAGCCCCCAGGAGCATAACCCAGAAGTGCCTTTGGAGATCATGGGCAGTGGGTGGTGGGCAACCTGCAGGAACCCGAGTCAGTACTGGACTTGAGGCCTGACAGAAAGGGCCGGTGTCGTAAGGGGGACGTTATCCTGGGGGAGGAAGGGAGACACATTCTCCCACCAGACCTAAGGGGAGATGCAGGGACTGCATGACCCCAGGCCTCGTCCTTGACCTTTTGATGTCACATCCTTGCCTCCGTCTACAGCCACTGATTAGGTGCAGGGCCTGGGAGGTCCAGTGAGCTGAGGGCCAGAGGTAGCTGGGCTCAGCTGAGTCCCTGTCCCTTCCTAACCTGGAACATCCCTTGCCCTCTCCTGCAGCCCCTGCTCCCAGAGTCCCTGGCACGGAGCCTGCTGCCAAGCATAGAATACCAGAGGCAGCTCCTGGCTGCACGGGTGCAGCTTCAGAGCGGCACTGCTGAGCTCCAGGCTGACCTTCTGCAAAGTCAGGCCCGGCTGGCAGAGCTGGAGGCCCAGGTGAGGGGCAGCTGGCTGTGGGGCAGGGCTGTGCGGGAGGGGGTCCTGCTGAGGGCCGGAAGGCTTCCCAGGTAGCCTGAGGGAGCCCGCTTCCCCTCCCTCCATGCCATCCCTCCTCCCGCCTCCCAGGTGCAGAAGCTGGAGCTGGAGCGGACGCAGCACCAGCTGTTGCTGGAGAGCTTGCAGCAGCGGCACGAGGCTGATCTGGAGCTCATCGAGGGCGCCCACAGGTGGCCCCAGTTGTCCCACCTGGCCTTCCACAGGTTGTGGCCACCCTCGCTTTCCAAGCCCCATGGCTGGGTGTTCTGTTGACAGAAGCCGAGTAAAGGTGCTCGAGACCTCATACCTGCAACGGGAAGAGCGGCTACGGAGGGAGAACGAGGAGCTGTCCGCCCGGTACCTGTCACACTGCCAGGAGGCCGAGCAGGCCCGCGCCGAGCTCACGGCCCAGCACCAGCGGCGCTTGGCAGCCGCCGCACAAGAGAAGGACCAGGAGATGGAACGGCTCCAGGAACTGCAGCGGTGAGGGCGAGGCCCGGGAGGCAGGGCGCGCAAGCTGGGTTCAAGGATGGCCGGAGAAAGCCAGTTCCCATTAGGCCCCCAGCTGTGGCTCAGCAGCTGAGGCTTGCCTTCTGGGTGAGGACCAAGGCCAAGCACTCAGACCCTTTGCCCCCAGGAGTCAGGGGGCCGTCCCCGCAGGGCCTGAGGGGCCCCTGGCCATTCAGGCAGAGCCTGGCAGCCTCAGCACAGGTTCATCCACTCACCACTGCCTGCTCTGGTCTGAGTAGACTGACCTGGAGGGGTGTGCCATGCCAGTGTGCCCACCCAGCCGCCTTTCTGGATGACAGCCGAGCTAAGAACATGGCCGACTAGAGGTCAGTGAGGGCAGAGAGGCCTGTACCCCACTCAGACTGGCCAAATACAAAGCTTGCTAGCACACCTATCTTCTCTGTGTCAAGTGTCCTGCACTGAATAACAGAGGCAACAGGCCTTAGAGTGGCTGTGGCATTGAGGTACCAGGACAGATAAGGTAGAGGAGCCAGGGAAACTGAGGCAGTGCCCTGCAGAGGCAGAGAGGAGGCTCTGGGAGCACTGCCTGCCCAGAGGCACGTCTGTCCCACAGGGAGCCGCCCTCCCCACTGTCCCGCAGGGCCTCCATCCTGGAGATGCGCCGGGACCATGAGGAGCAGCTGCAGCACCTGAAGCTGCTGAAGGACCGAGAGATCAACGCAGTCACCAGCGCCACCTCACACACGCGGTGCGTGCGCCTTCCGGGCCCGGCCTTCCTGAGGCTGGTGCTGGATCCCCAGGCCAAGGTGACCCCGTCCTCCCCCAGGTCCCTGAATGGCATCATCGAGCAGATGGAGAAGTTCTCCAGCAACCTGCACGAGCTGCACTCCCGCGTGGAGGCCTCGCACCTTGCCACCACCCAGGAGCGGGAGCTGGGCGCCCGGCAGCGGGATGGGCAGCTCCGAGGTAGCCCAGCCGTGTGCCCTCCCCCTCTCCCATCTCGCCTGTCTGCCTCCTCTCAGTGGGAAGGCGGGCGGGCAGTGAGCGCCTGCGGGCCGCCCCCAGTGCTGCAGGAGAGGCTGGGCCAGCAGCAGCGGGACCTGGAGGAGGAGCGCAGCCGGCTGCAGGAGGTCACCGCGAAGATGGAGGCGCGCCTGGGCGAGCAGAGCCGGCTCCTGGAGCAGGTGTGGCTTGTCCTTCTGCCAGCAGCCAGCCTGCCCCAGGGCACCCTAGGGTGGCAGCCCTGCCCCTCCTCGCACCTCAGCTCCCGGCCTTTCCTCTGCCCGTCAGCCGCACCACCCACTTTCCTCCTGGGACTCAAATCTGTCTTCCGAAGCCCGTGACATTGGGGGAAATGCTCTCACACCCGGAGCTGTAACAGATACACATGGCGACCTCCCTGCAGTTCATTCATGTATAAGAACAAGCTTTATTCTTAAAAAAATAATACCTTTGGTACTAGCTTAAATATGACACATTTCACTGAAAAAAATTAAAATGCAGAAACAGTAAAGGAGAAAATTTAAATTACCTGCTAGTCAGAGATAGCCACTGATATCATATATATCCTGAAGATGTATCGAATGTAGACGTACAGGTGACGCTTGAACAACATAGGTTTGAACTGCGCTGACCCACTTACACATGAATTTTTTTCAATATATACATTGGAAAGGTTTTTGGAGATCTGCAACAATTTGAAAAAATGTTATCTTTTCTCTAGCCTACTTTATTGTAAGACTACAGTATATAATACATACAAAATACGTGTTACTCCACTGTTCGTGTTATCAACATGGTGTCAACAGTAGGCTATTAAGTTTTGGGGGAGTCAAAAGTTAATGTGGATTTTCAACTCTTCAGTGGGGATCAGCATGCCAAACCCCTGCACTGTTCAAGGGTCAACTGTAAATGGTTTTATCCTGTGAATCATCTTTATTCAGCCCCTGCTTTGGGCCAAGCACAGTTAAGCTTCTAACTTCACGCTGTGTGTGTTCCGTATCCCCTTGCAGACACGCACCACCCTTGTGCTCCTTGCCTGCCTTCTTGATGGGAGACAACCAGGCAGGGTGCTCTGGTTGGCGATTCAGGGCATGGGTGTTACTGTCCTTTGGCCCTCCAGTGCCTCTCCGAGGTGATTCCCAAGCATTGGTACAGTTGACCCCAGCGGCTAGGCCTGGCAGGCCCCCTCAGGCACCCTAGTTTGCACCTCCCTGTCAAGGAGCGTTTGTGGCATGGTGCAGAGATGCAGTGGGTTTGCACAGCTCCCCAGGGAGCAGTCAGGCCTGATGGGGGCAGGTGGCATGTTGAGGGGGAGTGTCCCTGACTCGGCCCGCAGGAGCGCTGGCGGGTGAATGCTGAGCAGTCCAAGGCGGAGTCCACACAGCGCGCACTGGAGGAGCAGAGGAGGGTCATGGTCCAGCAGATCACCATGGAGCGCGAGGAGCTGGAGAGGGCCAAGGTGGGTCCAGCCACTCCGTGTTCAGCGGTTGTCGCTGCCATTGCACCCAAGGATGCTCACCCTGTGCCCTCGTCCCCTCGTCCCAGAGTGCCTTGCTGGAGGAGCAGAAGTCTGTCATGCACAAGTGCGGGGAGGAGCGGCGGCGGCTAGCAGCTGAGTGGGCCGAGTTCTTTGCACAGCAGAAGCTGAGTAAGGAGCGGGCCGAGCGCGAGGCAGAGCGGGCACTGCAGGTGGACACCCAGCGGGAGGGTGCCCTCGTCAGCCTGGCCAAGGTAGGGCTCAGAGTCTCCAGCAGTGGAAGCCTGGGCGGCCCTGGCCCTTTCCTTCCCTGGTGCTCACTGCCCGCTGCGCCGCTGGGATGCATCAGCTTAGCAAAGAGCCTAGCCATAAATGACAATACAGGAACTAAACCAATAATAATCACAAATAACAACTCCCTTTATTGTTGCAGGTGCTTTACACCCATTTTCTCATTCAATCCTCACCACATTCCCATTACCCCAGAAATGAGGAAACGGGTTCAGAGAAGTTGAGCCCAGGGGTGAGGGGCAGCAGTGAGGCTGGAGCCCAGGTTTTTGTGACTGGTCCTTGGAGCCTTGCCCCACCATCTCCTCCCAGGGTTGGGGTGGGTCGGAAACAAGGCAGTGCACACCAGGGGCCTGGAAACCCTGGGCAGAGCCCGACTCCCAAGAGAACACAGCAAAGGCTTTGCCGTCTCCAGGGGCAGGCAGAGCTGAAGGTCAGGGCGCGCGAGCTCCGGGCCCAGGAGGACCAGCTGGCAGCTGAGAGGGAGGTGCTGGAGCGGGAGTGGCAGAAGGTGCAGCTGGAGAAGGAGAGGGTCAGTGCTGTGGCCCTGCGCCTCAGGCTGCGCACCAAGGAGGTGGAGAGCACGAGCCAGGTACCGGGCTGACCCCTACGGGCCCGGGGCGTTCTGACCCCAGCCAGCCCGCTGAGCCAGTGGCCTCCCGGCAGGTGGCCTCAGCAAACCATGAGGGGGAACGGGCACTGCGCGAGGCCCTGCAGGTGCAGTCGGGGCAACAGGCCCAGCTACAGCTGATGCAACAGCGGTGGCTGCAGGAACAGGAGCCGCACTTGCGCCAGGCAAGGCCCCTCCCAGCTCTGGCTGCCCCGACCGGTGCCCCCCATCTCCACCCTCCCAGCTACATCCTTCTCTCTGGGGCACTGGGACAGGGACATCTAAGTCTGGCCCAGCAGAGGCTGCCCTCCAGCCACGAGGAGCCACTCCCTGGGGCCCAGGGCCCAGAAGCCTCCTGTCTGAGTGGTAAGTAGCTTTCCCAGAAGGCCGGACATGGGCTCAGCTCGCCCCTGAGCAGGGCAATGCCAGGAGCATCCTGCCACTCAAGTTGGTGGCAGCTGGGGTTAGAGTCATCTTGCTACTCCCTCCTTACACAGTAGTGCATGTTAATTATAGAAAAATAAATAAGAAGTAGAGAGAAAACTATTTTTAAAACATCACTCTCAGCCCCACTCTTATCTACGGAGACCTCCCCTTAACAGTTCCGTGCATAGCTTTCTACACTGTATGTCTTTAAAAACAAAATTGACATACATACGTTTTTTTGTCCCTTGATTTTTTTCATTCAGTAATACACCTGGAGCATGTTTTCATATCAGTAACTAAACATTTAATCATAATTTTTAGCATTATTTCTTACTAAAAGGCTGATAAGCTCATGTTTTTGCTCATTTCCTATGAAGTGATTTTTTTTGTCGCTAAGCTAAACAGCACCTCAGTGGAAACCTTGCATGTCCATCTCTGCACCTTTGCCGGATTATTTCCCTTGAATTAATCCCTGGAACTGGCTTTGCCAGCTTAGATCCTATGAGCAGGAGCAAAGGCTTTTGTCAGTTGGCGGGTGCCCGTTCGGTGCGCCGGCATCCGTCCGCCATGGAGAGAAGGCCTGGGGGACAGGCTGAGGCCGGCCTGTCCAACAGCGCCCCTGTCCCTGGCCTCCTCCTCTGCCTCTTCAGCCACCCTGACCCCTGCTCCTGGCCCTCCTGGCTTCAGCCCGTCGCTGGCCGGCCTGGGCTCCTCGCACCTCCACGCCAAGCTGGTGCTGCTGAAACACACAGCTAAGCAGGTGAGTCCAGCCCAGGCCCCCCGACTCCCTGGCCCTGGGGTCCTCCGAGTTCACACTGCTGCCAAGCAGCTCAGGGCAGAGGCAGGAAGGAGCGCGTCCTGAGCCCACCCCGAGAGGAGACCAGTACTGCAGGTTGCTCAGTGAGCATCTGAGTCCTGCCCTGTAGGCCAGGTTCTGTGCAACAGTTGAACCTCACAAAGACCCTGTGACAGTGACGACAGCAGTTAGCGCTCAGGAGCATGTCCTGCGTGCCAGGCTCTGTGCTATAAAGCTGCAGGTGCTTGATGAGCCTTTACCCCCCAGGACCCGACAAGGCGGGTCGTGGAACCACCCAGCTTACAGACAGGGTTTGTGGGATGAAATCATGTGCTCACGGTGGTCTCCCCGGGACTGAGACCTGGCCTGCCTCACCCCAGTGCACCTGCTCTTCCCGTGCCCCAGCTGCATCCCAGAGCCAGGGAGGAAGTGGGGAGAGGTGCAGTTAGCACCCAAGGCTCCACCTGGCTCCTCGTCCTGCCAGCTGGTGTCCCTGTTCACGGCCCTGGGTACAGGAGGGAGCCAGAGGGTGACTGCTCACCAGCTGTGCCTTTCAGGACCGGGACTTCTTGGAGGATGAACAGTTCTTCCTGGAGACCTTGACGAAAGCCTCCTACAACATGACATCCCATTCAGCTTGAAGGGCCTGGCTGCCTCCTTGGCAGAGGCCTCAGATGCCAGAACTCTGCCCCGCTGCCCTGCTGCCACTCCAGGGGGCCCAGGGAAAGCTCTGCAAGGCCCAGGGCCTGATTACAGCTCTTCTTGTCAACAGGGGCAAGTGCCTTCTTTCTGAGCACCTCAAGCACATGGTGCCCCCATACCTCCAGGGTTTGAGATCCAAGGCCTCAGGGGAGACATGATGCCACGTGGCCTGGCCCGGTCACGCTGTCTACCGCAGCTTTCGTTCTGCGGCCCCACGGACTTCCAGTTCAGACTCAAGGGTCTGGCTGTGCTGTGTGGACCCCTTCCCCTCTGTGCAGGCAGATGGTGTGGGGATCTTTTTACCTGGGCCTCCTCTGAGGCAGGGGCGTCTTCCTAAGGGATGCCACGTGCAGCCTCCTGTCCACCCCACTGAAGAGACAGCACGGGGCCTGCTCGCAAATGGGGACACAGAGTTGGGCCACACATTTTGAAGGGCCTTCCAGCCTCCTGGCCGAGGGGGTGGGTGTATTGTGGGGCTCAGCCATCCCCTCACGCTCTCAGGTTGGCGCCCACAAAGTCCCCACTCGTTCCCAGCTCTGAGTAACTGACTAGCCCGGCAAGGACACTGGCTTCCAGGGGCAGGGATGGGGGCTGTGGGTGATGCTGGGCTGTGGGGAGGGACAGGGAGAGAAGACTCTGCCGTTCCCCCTGCCCTGAAGCCACAGCAGGTGGGGATGATGACAGAGGAGCACCCCTGCCCTGGGAGGATACCGAGCATGGGGGACCAGGCTGCTTGCTGCCCCCTCTCCGCACGTGGGCAGGGGGCCACTGTCACTGCGGAGGTGCCAGGGGAGGGGCGAGAGGATTAGTGGTTGTCCCCAGCAGACCCAAGGACAGACGGACTCAATGAATCATGATTACTTCGGAAGCAGTCTCTTCCTGAGATCAATGTCATCACCTCTGTTGAAGGGAGCAGGCCAGCAGAGGACGGTGCTGAGGGGCATCTTCACGAGCAGTTTGTGTGTCTGCTCCTTCAGAAAGGCTTTCAGAGGGTCCTTTCCCTACCAACAATTTACAGCCTTCATCTCAGGCCCACTAAATCGCTATATATATTTTTTTACCTAGTTGCCCCATCATCATATTTAAAAAATTTTTATTAAGGTATGATTGATATATACTCTTAGTAAAGTTTCACAAGAAAAACAATGTGGTTATATCACCCGTATTATCGAATCCCGCACCGCACCCCATTGCAGTCACTGCCCATCAGTGTAGTAAGATGCTATAGAATCACTACTTGTCTTCTCTGAGCTACACTGTCTTCCCCGTGACCCCCACACCATGTGCACCAATCATGATACCCCTCAATCCCCACCTAACAGCGGTGGCTGCAGGAACAGGAGCCGCACTTGCGCCAGGCAAGGCCCCTCCCAGCTCTGGCTGCCCCGACCGGTGCCCCCCATCTCCACCCTCCCAGCTACATCCTTCTCTCTGGGGCACTGGGACAGGGACATCTAAGTCTGGCCCAGCAGAGGCTGCCCTCCAGCCACGAGGAGCCACTCCCTGGGGCCCAGGGCCCGGAAGCCTCCTGTCTGAGTGGTAAGTAGCTTTCCCAGAAGGCCGGACATGGGCTCAGCTCGCCCCTGAGCAGGGCAATGCCAGGAGCATCCTGCCACTCAAGTTGGTGGCAGCTGGGGTTAGAGTCATCTTGCTACTCCCTCCTTACACAGTAGTGCATGTTAATTATAGAAAAATAAATAAGAAGTAGAGAGAAAACTATTTTTAAAACATCACTCTCAGCCCCACTCTTATCTACGGAGACCTCCCCTTAACAGTTCCGTGCATAGCTTTCTACACTGTATGTCTTTAAAAACAAAATTGACATACATACGTTTTTTTGTCCCTTGATTTTTTTCATTCAGTAATACACCTGGAGCATGTTTTCATATCAGTAACTAAACATTTAATCATAATTTTTAGCATTATTTCTTACTAAAAGGCTGATAAGCTCATGTTTTTGCTCATTTCCTATGAAGTGATTTTTTTTGTCGCTAAGCTAAACAGCACCTCAGTGGAAACCTTGCATGTCCATCTCTGCACCTTTGCCGGATTATTTCCCTTGAATTAATCCCTGGAACTGGCTTTGCCAGCTTAGATCCTATGAGCAGGAGCAAAGGCTTTTGTCAGTTGGCGGGTGCCCGTTCGGTGCGCCGGCATCCGTCCGCCATGGAGAGAAGGCCTGGGGGACAGGCTGAGGCCGGCCTGTCCAACAGCGCCCCTGTCCCTGGCCTCCTCCTCTGCCTCTTCAGCCACCCTGACCCCTGCTCCTGGCACTCCTGGCTTCAGCCCGTCGCTGGCCGGCCTGGGCTCCTCGCACCTCCACGCCAAGCTGGTGCTGCTGAAACACACAGCTAAGCAGGTGAGTCCAGCCCAGGCCCCCCGACTCCCTGGCCCTGGGGTCCTCCGAGTTCACATTGCTGCCAAGCAGCTCAGGGCAGAGGCAGGAAGGAGCGCGTCCTGAGCCCACCCCGAGAGGAGACCAGTACTGCAGGTTGCTCAGTGAGCATCTGAGTCCTGCCCTGTAGGCCAGGTTCTGTGCAACAGTTGAACCTCACAAAGACCCTGTGACAGTGACGACAGCAGTTAGCGCTCAGGAGCATGTCCTGCGTGCCAGGTTCTGTGCTATAAAGCTGCAGGTGCTTGATGAGCCTTTACCCCCCAGGACCCGACAAGGCGGGTCGTGGAACCACCCAGCTTACAGACAGGGTTTGTGGGATGAAATCATGTGCTCACAGTGGTCTCCCCGGGACCGAGACCTGGCCTGCCTCACCCCAGTGCACCTGCTCTTCCCGTGCCCCAGCTGCATCCCAGAGCCAGGGAGTAAGTGGGGAGAGGTGCAGTTAGCACCCAAGGCTCCACCTGGCTCCTCGTCCTGCCAGCTGGTGTCCCTGTTCACGGCCCTGGGTACAGGAGGGAGCCAGAGGGTGACTGCTCACCAGCTGTGTCTTTCAGGACCGGGACTTCTTGGAGGATGAACAGTTCTTCCTGGAGACCTTGACGAAAGCCTCCTACAACATGACATCCCATTCAGCTTGAAGGGCCTGGCTGCCTCCTTGGCAGAGGCCTCAGATGCCAGAACTCTGCCCCGCTGCCCTGCTGCCACTCCAGGGGGCCCAGGGAAAGCTCTGCAAGGCCCAGGGCCTGATTACAGCTCTTCTTGTCAACAGGGGCAAGTGCCTTCTTTCTGAGCACCTCAAGCACATGGTGCCCCCATACCTCCAGGGTTTGAGATCCAAGGCCTCAGGGGAGACATGATGCCACGTGGCCTGGCCCGGTCACGCTGTCTACCGCAGCTTTCGTTCTGCGGCCCCACGGACTTCCAGTTCAGACTCAAGGGTCTGGCTGTGCTGTGTGGACCCCTTCCCCTCTGTGCAGGCAGATGGTGTGGGGATCTTTTTACCTGGGCCTCCTCTGAGGCAGGGGCGTCTTCCTAAGGGATGCCACGTGCAGCCTCCTGTCCACCCCACTGAAGAGACAGCACGGGGCCTGCTCGCAAATGGGGACACAGAGTTGGGCCACACATTTTGAAGGGCCTTCCAGCCTCCTGGCCGAGGGGGTGGGTGTATTGTGGGGCTCAGCCATCCCCTCACGCTCTCAGGTTGGCGCCCACAAAGTCCCCACTCGTTCCCAGCTCTGAGTAACTGACTAGCCCGGCAAGGACACTGGCTTCCAGGGGCAGGGATGGGGGCTGTGGGTGATGCTGGGCTGTGGGGAGGGACAGGGAGAGAAGACTCTGCCGTTCCCCCTGCCCTGAAGCCACAGCAGGTGGGGATGATGACAGAGGAGCACCCCTGCCCTGGGAGGATACCGAGCATGGGGGACCAGGCTGCTTGCTGCCCCCTCTCCGCACGTGGGCAGGGGGCCACTGTCACTGCGGAGGTGCCAGGGGAGGGGCGAGAGGATTAGTGGTTGTCCCCAGCAGACCCAAGGACAGACGGACTCAATGAATCATGATTACTTCGGAAGCAGTCTCTTCCTGAGATCAATGTCATCACCTCTGTTGAAGGGAGCAGGCCAGCAGAGGACGGTGCTGAGGGGCATCTTCACGAGCAGTTTGTGTGTCTGCTCCTTCAGAAAGGCTTTCAGAGGGTCCTTTCCCTACCAACAATTTACAGCCTTCATCTCAGGCCCACTAAATCGCTATATATATTTTTTTACCTAGTTGCCCCATCATCATATTTAAAAAATTTTTATTAAGGTATGATTGATATATACTCTTAGGAAAGTTTCACAAGAAAAACAATGTGGTTATATCACCCGTATTATCGAATCCCGCACCGCACCCCATTGCAGTCACTGCCCATCAGTGTAGTAAGATGCTATAGAATCACTACTTGTCTTCTCTGAGCTACACTGTCTTCCCCGTGACCCCCACACCATGTGCACCAATCATGATACCCCTCAATCCCCACCTGGCTTCCCCCACCCCTCCCCTTTGGTAACCACCAGTCCCTTCTTGGAGTCTGAGTCTGTCGCTATTTTGTTCCTTCAGTTTTGCTTCGTTGTTAATGCTCCACAAAGGAGGGAAATCATTTGGTATTTGTCTTTCTCTGCCAGACTTACTTCACTGAGCATAATACCCTCTAGCTCCATCCATGTTGTTGCAAAAGGTAGAAATCACTATATTCTTAATGACTAGATTCTCAAAAACTTGCTATGGTTCATCAGAGTTTGTGCTGTTAAAAAACAAATCAACAGAGTAAATTTGAAGATCTAATTGCCCTTATCGAACAATTCATGAATCAAGCAGCATCCCAGCCAGCATGTAGAGGGGAGCTCTCAGTGAGACAGGGACCATGGGCTTAGACAGAATAGGGTGGGGGCCTCCAGAAAAAGCAAGGCAGGATGTTTGCTGTGAGAGCAGTGTAACTACCCCCTAGTTTAGAGCGAGGAAACCCCCACCTAGTTTAAAACTGTGTTAAACAATAAGCTCTGTTAGAAAACAGCATAAAACCTAAATGTGATTTATTCCCACCTGGAGGTTTAAAACATCTTAACAGTAAGGTATTAACAAAGGGCCACGTGGTGGAAGCTGCTCAGGCTGAGAGTGGGTGGGAATTTATAAGGGCCTGGCTATACATACTGTTTGAGTTTCTCAAACCTACCAGTAAGATTAAGACAAATGTAAGGGAAAGATGTAACTGGCTTAGGCGATGTCTGGGGAACAATGTGAACCCTGTGGTACTCAGCCAATGAGGAACCAGGGGAGGGACTCGCACACTAGGAGATAAATTACTGGCACCAATCTCCCCAGGCGTGCCTGCTCACTGGACACCCAATTTTGCAAGATAGTTATTAAAGTCTTGCTCCCCTGTTCTCTTTATCTCCGTGTCCTCTTACTGAAATTTGGACCAGTAAGTGTGTTTCTCACAGCTCTAGGGTCATTCTTCAGCGAGATCAGTTAATATTCCGCAGATAAAGAAGAGTAGCACATGTTTTTATTATGCTAATCATTTATAATCATGTGTAACATTCACTTTAGCATGCTAAAAGGCCCATGCCTATGTGCTGTCTTTCCTCCTTCAGATCAGATGTGATTTTGCACACTGGACAACTAATTTAGCAAGTAAGCCCAGGCATAATAAACAACATAGTAAAAGGCAAGAAGGATTCCACCTTAAAGATAAGATTGCATTTAATACCCAAGAAGTTAGAAATTCTTAATTAACTCTTTAGCAAACAATACCTCAGCCCACGTTGGGAGCTGGGCAGGCGGCCTTGTTTGATATGCTCCCAGGCCAAGACGCCAGTACCAGTATCTCAGGGAGAAATCGGAGCAGGAAGTTCTTTGTGTTAAGTTAATTTTAAATATTCAGGCATCACTTAACAAGTCCACACCCCTTAGCGTTTATCCAGTTCTCAAAAATCCTCAACAGCCTACAAAACCCCTAGTAGGACAACACACCACTACAGGCTCTCTTGTCCCCTCCTGGCATGAGCCACGAGCTCTGTCCTCTCACTGTATCTCTCAATAAAAGCCTCTCCCTGGCTTTCCTACCTTGGGTGTTTGCGAAATTCATTCTTGGACTCGGCAAACAAGAACCCTGGCATCATCAGGACCTACACAAAATGGGAGGTTTTTAAAGGCAGGGGAGGTAGGAAAGAATTTATTAAGGACAGCGTTGCTATAGGCAAGGTCAGCCTCCCAAGGGCAATAGGCAGGGTTCCATTCAGATTACCTCCTAGAGTTGACTAAGAAATTAGTTTGAATGATTAAAGGTTACATTCTGGGGGACACTGACCCTGTAATTAGTTTAGGTATAAAGTTCTGGTTTACTGACGTGAGACCCTAATTAACATAAGCGACCCGTATGGGGCCTGTGGTCTTGTTTTGAACAGTACGTATTTCTTAGAAATATTTGCTGTGTCGCACTGTTGTTTGTTGTAAAACTGGCAGGGGCTGGAGGTACCAGCCCCACCATCTGTACTCCTGCAGGCTGGACCACTGCCAGAAGAACGGTCTGATTATTGCCCCTACTTCACAGATGAGAGCGCTGGGCTCAGGGAGTTCAAATAATCTGCCCAAGGTCACTCAGCAAATAACAGGGCCTAGCTTGGGCAGATAACAAAGCCGCAGGCTTTCAGCCACATCATCGCCGCCTCCTGGGAGTGTTCCACAGTGAAGCACTGGGGAGGTGTGGGTAAAATTGAAACATTTCCAGAATTTCTCGCCTGGCTTTGGTTCATCTGCATATCAACAGGCGTTCAGAGGTGTAAACAAGTAGGCTTTAGTTCATTTGCATATTTCCTCAGGGGTGGAAAACTTCATCTCCACATCAATGAGTGATTACGTGGGCAACAGGGGGTTTATCCGTACCTGAGAGGTGACGGGAGGGCGGGTGGTGTGGCTGCTTGAGCAGGAGAGAGAGATGGCCCCGCACTGCAGTTTTGTAAGCAATAAACGGGTTTTAAACTTTATTTCTCCCTTGGACTGATTTTGGTTGTAAGAGGCATTTTGCCCCGGGATTTCCTTTCCCTGGACTTACAGGAGGGAAGCGTCGTGTGTCCTGCTAGAAGCTTTGTTGAAGCTTGGAGTTTGGTCTTTCTCTCAACACATAAGGAGTTCCTATGTGTGGGAAGCGCTGGACGGTTCTAAGGATGGGCACACCTGGAGCAGCTGGCATTTAAGCTGACGGTATATGAGTGATCACAGGCACATGTGGTGGGTACACATGGAGATCCACAGGGGAGCCTGGTCGTCAAGAGTCAAATGGGTTTATTCTAGCATTAGGTCAGTAAGGCTTTGTGCATCCTGCTAAAGTTTGAGCTTTTTTTATCTTCAGGATGATGGGTATTAAAAGGTTTTAAACAGGGTGTGGCGATATTTGTATATTAGAAAGCCCACTGTGGCTATGGGGTGAAGAGCCAAGCGGGGCAGAAGTGGGGACAAGGAAGACAAGACAGCACTGTACCAAGCATGGCAGGGAGGGGTCACTGAGCTGAGACCCCCGAGGCCTAGTTCCTGACCTGGAAGGGGGCGGAAGACGTGTCAAGGAGGACCCTCAGGCTTCTGCCTTGGGCAGCTGGGTGGTATTGATGCCAGAGTTCTTGCTCAAGAAACCGAAGAAGGAGCTTCACAAACACTCAAGCTAGGAGTACAGAACAAGGTATAGGCTTTTATTTAGAAATAAAGAGAGGGAAGAGCTCCTGGCTCAGGCCAGGAGGGGACAAGAGCCTGGGGCGGTGCGTTGTCTAGGGGATTTATAGGCAGAGGATTTTTGGGAATTGAGGGCTTAGGGTGTGGACTTGTACCACCTGCCCCGCCCTCAAGGTGGGCTGGGTTGTTGTCTGTTTGCTAGGGCTGTTTACAGTGAAGTCACGGGTCATACTGAGACACCCTTGCGGAACATTCGAACATTCCAGGCGGAGATGCTCCTGGCCTTTTGACCTTTAAGCGATCTCACTGAAGATGTCTATATTGCTAGTCTAGTATCTTTACCCTAGAGAATTGGTATGACCTTGACTGCATACTGCTGAACACAGTTTTGATAGGGACTTTACATTGTTACATTGCTTTGACTGTAAATATATTGCCTTGCTTTTTCCGGAGGCCCTCACCCTACTGTCTAAGCCCATGGTCCCTGTCTCAGTATCACTCAAATGACACCAGTGCCCATTAAACAGCCAAGGGGAGACATTCCAAGGACATCTGGTTATAATGACACG